GAAGCTGATGGTAAAGGTCAGAGTGTAGAAAGTTGTTTTCCTTTTACCTCGAGCAGGACAGTAGTGGTTTCTTCAGGAGACAAAGAAGGAACAGAGGATGACGTTCAGTCGGATATGTGCAAAATGCTCATGAGAATCACTACTAGCATTTAGTGCTGAGGCAGAAAACACTGTGAGCATACTGTCATTAAAATCTTTTTTCTTTTTGTTTTTTATCTAAGAGGAAACATAACAAACAAATAACATCAGAAAACAGTAAATCTGAAATGTATCAACGCAGCTCGTGATAGCATTAACATTCCCTAATCATACAGTGATCCTTTAGTTAATGCAAACTGAACAAAGTAGTTATTAAAGGTAAAGTAAAGTCTCTTCTAAGGCAGGAGTTTCTTTGTGCATTCTGTTAGCAGTGGTCAAGTCTCCAACCTTAATCATTTGTAATAACCTCTTCCTAGAACTAGGTTAAAGGGGTTCCACCAGATACTTAGACTTAGTTTTGCCAATTTATTTTATTAATATTTTATTTGGACCCAATTTATATAAATTCAAGTGAAACATTTCATGGTCTGTGAGAATAATGTAAAACTATGTGACAGTTAGGCAATTTCTACACATCTATCTTAGTAATTGTTACCAACAAACTTAGGCTGTACTCATGGATACACACTCTCTTTGAATGTTTATGTCAGTTGTCCAAATGTTTGGCTGTTTTAGCACAAGATTCTCTCCCCTCAAGGGTCTAAAGTTTCATTCATTCTCACTTACATTCATACCTGTAATAACAAATCTCAGTTCCCGTTCTCACCCACTGTGGGCTACCATCCAGAGCTTCCCTTACTGAGTACAGCACTGGCTGCATTCCGCACTGGCGGCAGTCCTGCAGTACACACACATGCACAGATAGACAGTCAGACACTGCAACAGACAAAGACAACAGAAAAGTGGACCAGTGCAGGTCTCTGGTCTAAAGGGATTAAACGAAGACACATTGGTTCACATCACTGACAGAGGCTTTGAGTATTTTTTACAGAGACAGAGAATTAGGTTTTATATTAGGGATGTCCGATAATATCGGCCGATATTAGCATATTATGTAATATCTGTAAGAATCGTTATCGGGTTTTCCTTCGATAATAAGAAATCCCAATAACGCAATGCCTGGGTTTAGCAAGGTGTGATCTAAAAATAGTTTGGGTGATAAACGGCTGTTTATAAAGAAAAAATCACTAGATGGCAGCATTGCAGCTCTTTTAGTTCATCGTATACTCATACATAAATATTACCAGGCCTATATCAGTATCGGTTGAAATTAAATGCTTGGACAATATATCAGATATGGCAAAAAGTTAATATCGGACATCCCTAGTTTTATCTAAATTTTTATACATTGAATGCAATGGCTAAAAAACAAATTCCATTATAGTAGTATATGTACACAGACCCACTCACGTAGACTCACCGTAGTTGAACTGACTGTTGCCCTTCTCACAGTTGATGACATTAAAACGGTAGGGGGCGTCTGCCTCCATATTACTGACTTCAAAGTAAAACCACTGAGCATGCTGGGAACAGTTGGCGTCTGCGTTCAGTATGAGATCATATTCAAACCTACAAGAGAGCAGAGGGGAGACGTTTGTTCTTATCCCTCTCTCACCTCCTTGGCTCCTGACTTAGACCGTGTATGTTTGTCCGTACCTGCGGACCTGAACTGCCTTTCTCAGGTTCCCAGACTCAAACTTGGAGAAAAACCTCAAGGAATCAGACGGACCTTGAAGACTGGGAATAAAAAAAGAAACCCACAAATACTTTGATTATTACTTGAATTTTTAATAGTTGTCAACATTGTGAGTGTCTTTTTGATTATAACTCAAATTCTTAATAGTTGTCAACATTGTGAGTGTCTGTCTGTCAACCTGCTGTCTCCAAGATCGTAGACGACCCTGTTGATGATGTCGGATGGATTTAGGCAGCGCTGGATGTCCTCAAACACTTTTTGCCTAAAAGAGACAAAGATATGCAGACAAATAACTAATCTTGAAGAGATTGTGTTCCTGCAAATCCTGTTTCAAAATCATTCAAAGCTATTTAAAAATACAGGTCCTTACAGGGTCCATGACGTCTGGGGGTTCCACAGAGTACTGTAGTGGGGTTTTTACATTTTTGATTCATTAGATAATTGTTTCGTATTTTTAATTTTGCCAGTCTAATAACAGTGATCCACATCCATATCGTCAGCTAAACATGATTGTATTCAGTCGTTGCTATGTAGCTAACTACGTCTTCGTTTCTGTTGGACGTCTGGTAACTGATGGCATTTCAATCCAATAGGTTTTGAGGGTACTGGAGATGCATTTTGAGTGAGAACTACCTCTGTATGTTAGGCTCCCTCGGGGTCATGTGTTCATTTCCTGCGGGTGGAAGATGACCCCAGAAATCAGGAAAAGCAAGAATGTTGAACCCTGGAATAGACTTGGTTTTGGCAGCAACCTCGCGATAAACTTTGGGATCGTGATAAGGAATAGAGGCCCCGCGGTTCTTCAACAACCTCTCTATCATGACACTATGGTGGACTTGTTCTTTGTCATCCTGTTCAGTCTGCTCCTCCTCTCCTAGACATGTGGAGTTGCCCTCTCTGTGGATAAGGAAGGCAGCAGTGGTTGTGAGATCCCATTGAATTAAACACCAGGTGTGTATGTACTCTTATGAGCCTACCTGGGTTCTTCAACCGGGCTCTGACAGCCTAAGATTCTGCTGTGGCTGTTGAAATCACGTGCCTCCAACTGGCCAGTGGCTGCAGAGAAAGGAAGGGGAAAAAGAAAAAAGAAAATTGTACATTTGGATTTCTACACGATTTCCCAAATAGGGAGAAAAAGAATACAAACAATGTAAAATCTAGGCCGTGTAAAATATCTTTATATGCTGATGATATACATCTTTGTTTGTTCAATAATTGTACATCTACCTAATACAATAGGGTTGAATTTTTTCTATCTATCCATCCTTTCATCCATCCATCCTGCCATAGTTGCCTTCCAAAACAAGGAGGATCGTTTGGAAATGATCGACGAGACAAATAGGGTTTACCTTGTCTAATTTTATTTAAAAATAATTTCTCTGATGTCGAGCTCAAAGATCTTCAAAACAAATATTTATTTTCTAAGCTCCTCCCACCAGATATCAGAGGAATGAAACACTAAACTTATACATTTACATATTGGATGTAGACCCCACAGATAACTGATCCTCTGTGTGTGTGTATGAGTGTTAGATGTTGGATGAGGACTCATTGAATGACCTGTTGTATTTTCATCTGCTGAGGTTTCTTTGTCTGAGTTCGTAAGAGAGGTGGAAGAATCCGAGCTGGAGTTTTGGTCACCCTTCCTAGAGGAGAAACGCTCAGTTTCTCCATCTGAGGATGATGACGATGGAGAAGGTGATGGTGAGGATGAACTCAAGTCCAAGTCCTAGGAAACAGGATACACGTAAGTACCTCACAGACGTACAAGTACAAGCCCACTATACCCTCAGAATCTACTACTATAATCCATGTAGTAAAGACAAAGTAGAAATACAAAAACACTTTTTTTTTTACCTGAAACTCGTGTACGAGCTCAGGACAAATGCGTTCATACTGCTTCAGTAGCGCCCTGGGTCTGTCTGGTTCTGGGCGACGACATAGTTTGTTAAGGTCTGTTTCCAAGTCTTCGTCCTGGACAGAGAAAGACACATATGAATTCCCCAGTCTTGGGGTTATTTTTCTGGGGTTGATTAAGGTTATGGTCCGACCAGGTTTAAATTGCCCTAAAAATGCAATTTAACAAATTAAAGATGCCGTATTTTCCAGACTAGAATTTTGGCTTGTGTACCAGTGTCTGCTACTCCTGCACCTCTGAAAATGTACATGTTCGTTAATTTCACGCTGACAGCCAATGAGGGGTACTCTAGCTAGCTGCTGCGACTATATCTTATAGCAATTTATGGTCCGAAAAATACGGTTCTTGGAACTTGCAAATACAGAAAGATCATCAGTTACGACAGGGGCCATGATGTTTCGATGTTTAGCAGGTTGATTCATTCTTGGTTTGGGACCAAAACTGGGTACAAAAGGAGCATCCAACATGACGCTGCAGTTCATCTTTTTGAATATTGAATCAAAAGAAAACAAAAGGCACAGAGACAGAGAGACAGAGAGATTGTGCCAAATAAAAAATCTATGATTTCAGGTTCTTGGTTGTCACCAAATTCATCATCACTCTCCTCGCTGCTCCTATCTGGACAGGAAAAGAAGAAAACAAAACAAAAATTGACTATGCTTGTGAGCCTGATGTCCCACGGGCTAGAATTCTGAATTTACTGTTTGAAAAATCTGAAAAATTTGCTCAAAATTCATTCTTTACAAATCCAAAACATATATATATATATAAATAAATACAGTGGAACCTCGGTCGTCGAATGCCTAACTTTTGAACAATTTGGTTCACGAACAAAATCTCAGATAATGAAAAACAGTGAGAACAACAATAGAAGTGAAGAAAGATTATAGAATGGAGCTGGAGTTTCAGATCTGTCTTTACAGTTTGGTTTAACAAAGTGGTGGATTTGTAGCATCATTAAGAAGAAGGAAGGAATGGAAGAAGCTAAGGTCAAAGGAGTGACTGTTTGAAAAATTTGAAAAACGAGGTTCCACTGTATATACCCTTGAGAATCCTGAGGGACATATATTTTACGATCTAATTATTTTCATTGGACAAACTTTTTGGTTCACGGCCTTCAGGAATGACTTAAATTTGAAAAACGAGGTTCCACTGTATATACCCTTGAGAATCCTGAGGGTCATATATTTTACTCACTCACACTATTAAAGATGTGATAGTTATCGGAAATAATCTATACTGCAAATAATCTGTAGTTGACCTGGTGCCGTGTACTCATCCTGGTCAGCTTGTGGTGGTCTTCCAGGAAGAGGGAAGATGTAAACAGACTGATCAGATGTCAGCGGAAGACGTGTTTTTGGAAGACACTTCCTCAGTAGCTGCACCGAGGGCTCTATCAGGCACTCTGTAGCCTTACACAATAGATTTGTCTGCACAGAGACAGAAAGTTGGATTGTGATCAACATCTCTGGAGATCCATTATCCAGACACTGTATCTGTGGAGCGTTTGGCTTTTTGGTTTTGTGGGGCGACCACTGACATCTACCGTATTTTCCGGACTATAAGTCGCACTGGAGTCACGCCAGCCAAAAAAATGCATAATGAAGAAGAACAAAAACACCAGTGCCCTCTAGCGGTTGTCAGTGTGAAAATAATGAACATGTACATTTTCAGTGGTTCAAGAGTAGCAGATACTAGGACCTGTGTGACTTATAGTCCAGAAAATACGGTAGTTGAGGGCTATATGTGGGTGGTTCATGGCCCCCTATTGGCCAGCGGGCCAGGAGTTTGTTGATTCAAAAAGGAAAACAAAGAAAGTGTCTTTTTACCTGTGTGGTCTGATACAACAGACTCAGACCCCCGTTGGATGTCAGAGCCTGTCTGCCTGCAACGCTCTGGGTAACTTTATGCAGGCAGTTCAGCAGCGCATGGCGGATTTCCACGGCAGCGTGTTGAGTGTCTTTGTTGTGCCAGTCTTCATAAAGCCGTAGAAGGCCAGAGACGAAACCTTTAGACGCTGCCGAGCAGACATTGTCTTCTGTGAGGGGATTGCACACAAGGACAGGAAGAAACAAAGGGTTTGTTTTCAGTATTTCAGCATTAATTCTAATTTATGTGCAAAACTGATTTCTCTTCTCTTCCGAACTGACACTGGGCTAATAAAACGCTGGAGTGGCAGTGGTGGTGTTGAAGGACGTTGTAGTAAAAGCTGGAGATGCTCGAGAAACCATACACACACACACACACACACACACACACACGGGAGAACATCTAACTTCTAATTAGGAAGAGCCCGGTCGCTCTGGAACTTGATCCCAGAATATTCCTGCTATGAAAAGCACGGAGTGGCTGGAAATGCAGCCCTTGCGCAGATATGCAGTGGGTGACATTTGATCTGTTATTTAAGTTATGCAGTGGGATCCTTTCAATATTGTGGTCATAAAATAGACATGGATGTTTATTGTTAATGAATGTTACAAGCTGTAATTAATCAATCACCTCTGACATATTTGTCTAAACCCACGGTAGGTGTGCGATCAGTTTGCACAAATGGGTGTGAGTGGAAAAAAAACATTTCAGTAAATAAAGCACTACAAGTGGTGTAATTGAATTCTGATTACGGTAATAAATATGTATATCATTTTTATTCCTCTAAACCTAACATGCCAATCTTAGTGAGTTCTAAATCCTAAAATATCCTCATCTTAGTGCAGTTGTTCAAATTGTGCAAAAAAGTTCCCACGTCCTCACATTTAAGATAGAAGAACGTGTCCCCACTAGTATACCTAAACCAGACCAAACACACACAGACACACATGTCATCAGCTCATAAATCATCGTTCTGAGCCTAAAAGGACAGCACTCCAGTGACCCCTGCAGGAGGGCACCCCAGGTGTGAACCCACATGCCCCCGGGGTTGGAAAAGCAGTTGTCTGGGTAATAAGGTTTGTCACAGATAATAATAGTTAGTATAATAAAACAATTGCTTTCACTAAGTGAATTTATGAGAATACAGACATTTGAAAATTATCTTGAAAAACTTACTTGTGCACAACAGTGCTGCAAAGGCATTGATTGCTGCTCTGTGAAAGAAAGAGAGGATTTCTCATTACTAAAAACAAACTTTTTTTAAATTACAAAATGATGGAAAAAAGATCCTGCCTGAAAGCATTTAGTCAAGATGAGAGAGTCTGTAAGACAAAGTCATAGCATCAGTAACATGGGAAAAATGGTAAAATGGCACTAATGTTTTTTATTATTATTTATTATTGAAAAGTATTCTTAAAATCCACATCTAGATTTTTCTTTCTTTGATTTTGAAGCGATTCCACGTGAACACCGGTCCATCTAGATCATTTGTGTTTTGGAGCGGTAGATTTTGGGTGGCGCGCGGCCACCTGGCTACCAGATAATGTTTCAGCGGCAATTTCTTCTGATGGCAATCGTTGTCACTGCAACCCAGGCCAACCCAGCTTATACTCTCTTTAAAAAGGGAATGTTGCCATTAGTACCCACTGCTTTTATGGGGTGGCGAGGGGGGGGGGGGTGACATGTCTAGCACATGTATACGACACATGTCTGAGAACATTTCCCAAAGGCTGGGTAGCAACCCTTAGGTGGGTCACAAGAGATTTTTTTTTTTTTTGGGTTGTCTCACATCATGTTTCCCAAGAGTTTACAAACGATGTCTGTTGACTTGGGTCGCGAAGGTTTGTGACTTCCCTAGTCCCTAGAGAAAAAGTTTGGAAAACGCTGGTCTAGAAGACACGCCAAACAACCAGCTATCTCACAATATAACACATTGATAAAAGATAAAAGCAGACAATATAATAGTCAGAGAAAACATCAAATTTTTTTAAAAAAAAACCCTTAAATTTAAAACTTAAAATCTCTGACACTTCTCATCATTTCGATCTGGACTGAGCCGTCCAAGTTTGTCCTTGAGTGCAGGTCATAGTGTGTGGCCCCGTGGGGGCCCCAGAGCATTTCATTGCCTTATAATAAGGTCACACAGCATATATTGATATTGACCGTTTATTACAACTACAACGATGCATGTCCTCATGATGACAGACCTGTGAGCAGAGGTGTACGAGGAAGAGCAGCATCACGTCACTTCACCCAGAGCCTGACTCAGAGTTCTGGACCGAGGCGTCCGTGGTGGTTGCCTGATTTTCTTTTGTCATTTACTTGAAAAGTTTGAAAATTTAGTCTTCCAGTTAAATGTTTTACGGTAAATGGTTCCATTACTTTGAGTTCCTGGTACAGTTTGTTCCAATGGAGAGAACGCCTGTATCTACTGTACGGTTAAGACGGCCAGGTTTCCTGGTTTGAAAAATGGTTTGAAATGTCATCAAACCTCAAGACTCGTTCATTTCAGTGAGAGTTTGTGCCAAGCAGTCGGTGAACAGGCCGTCGCAGACACTTGTCTGGCTAACGTGATTCTAATTTGAGATCCACAAACTGCCAAAATAAAAATAAACAAGTCGCCGGGGTCAACTGCTGCCTTCTGAGAAACATATTTCATTTAGCTGCGTGGGTCAGCCAGAGGCCAGCGCTTCTGGCAGTTTTATGTATCTTTCTGCACATGAGCTGACACTCGGCAGTGATGGCCTGGAGATCAAGGGGTGTTCAAAGTGCTTGAAGTCCTGGAAAGTTTTGATTTTGAACAGAATAGCATGTTTTTGTTGTCCTGGTGGTTCTGTTCTGTGTGGAGGTGCGTCTTCTCCCTGTGTGTTCCTGGGTTTTCTTGAAGGTTTTCAGGCGTTTTCTTCCACAGACAAAAACCTGACATGGGTCCCTCAGTGTCGCCCGTCCACCGTCACGAGCATCTTCTTGAGAGTAAACACCTCTGCTCCCTGGGTTCACGTGTCTAGCTGCTACCAGCTAACATCGGAAAGTTGATGATTCAACATCAGCGTAGTAAACCAACCGGTCATTCACGGGGTTAAAGACAAATGTGTACGTCCCACTGTTAACGTCAAGGCTTATCTCTGTGTTTTCCACTGTTAACAGTTCATCAGCAGATACCCTGAGATAAAGCGCTTCACTTTCAGCAGGCGTTCCACTTCAACTGTCTCGCGGTTTCTACTTGGTCTGTACTTCCATATTGAATTTCTAGTCCCGATGACCGCTCAAGGGCTTTACACTACAGGTCATGCCATCTGCTTACTGCTGTCAGGGTGTTGGCACGGTCACTACCAGGTCTGGAAATGATCCCACAAACCACAACAAACATCAAACGGTGGGTTTTTTTGGTTTTCTTTTTTTTTTTTTTTTTTTTTGATAGACAAATAATTTTCCTCTCCTGTCAAGTGCTCAGTGTGGAAGCAGAAATGACATACTTGATGGTCTGCAGATGTCTGGTGGTATACTGAGGGATGAGGAGGAAAATGACGTCCAGCCCTTGGTTTCCTCCAATCAGGTTTGCCGCAGATACTGAAAAAGAAGACAAAAGTGGAAACACTAATTAACACGAGTTAATTAATACAGAACAAGGAACAAGGTCCTAATTGAGATTTTTTTTTTCCTGGCTTTTCATTGAGCGTGGCTCTTTAGGTATAGAGTTTGGAAATAAAATAGGATTTTCAGGGTTTTATTCAGATTTAATTCTGAATAAAAGAATAAAATTGTAACCAAATTTCAGAATATTTCTGGAGCAAAATGTTAAAAATGTAAAATTCATAATCTGAAGTGGCCCTAACGTCACTGTCAGGAAATACAGTTTAATTTTTTTTTTTCTTTTTAGTCACTCGCAAATATTAGTTTTCATTGTGTCCCATAAAGCTGGTATGTGTGTGGAGATAACTCTTCTCTGTTAATGTGCCCTGTGGGCTGGCAGCACCGCTTTTTACAGTGTCGTAAAAAAAAAAGAAAAAAATACTATTGAAGTTCCCGCGGTGCAGATCCAGTGACACGCACCGACTTGGTTTTTCCCACTGGCAAAGATATTGTTAATAAGTGTGTGTTAATAGGGTGACGTATAAACCCACTGGTGGTACCTGCGGAGGCAAAGACTTGGATGAGCAGCAGACACGCTGTAGCCCGCTTCGCATGTTTGGTGTTGTGCTTCAGAAGTTTCAGAGCCAGAAGAACGGCTCCAGCCTCCTCGGCCTTCCGACCAATACGCCTGTCTGTCACAGAGAGATGAGACATTGGTTTGAAACGGAGAGACGGAAGCAGGGGTCCCCAAGTCCTGGTCTTTGGGCCAGTAGCAGCCCGTGGATCATTCGTTTCTGGGCCACAGATCCTCAGTGATCCTTTAACAATCTTTAAAAGCTCAGCATCGCAGTGATGTACGTTTCGACGAACATTTTGACTTCTTCATTTTTCTACTTTCTGAGCTCCATGTGTTTTTCTCACCTCTGTGTCCAACTTTTACCAGCAGGTGGACTAGCGGCAGTAGGACGGTGTAGTTTAGGGAAAAACTGCGAGCGGTGTTGACCAGTGCCTCCAACAATGCCTCACTGCCTCCTTTACTTATTAAATATTGGATACGTCGATCAGTGCCTGAAGGGGGCGACAATTAAAGATTCAACCAGAACATCCCATCGTGACGCATTTTGGTTCAAATGGACTAGATTACAGTTTGGACAGATGATGGTAGAAACTGAAAAGACTCATGTGCCAAATCTGACGTTGTCTCACCGGCGGACAGAAGTTCATCCAGGACGTTAAGAATGTTCACGGTGCTCTCCACATCCCCTTCAGTCTGTAGAAACAAAAACACATGGAGAAAGATGGATGGATGGATGGATGGATGGATGGATGGATGGATCCAGAATTTTCTTTTTGGTTAAATTGTTTAAACTGTTGACAATTACATATTTTACCCAAATGAGAATTGTAAAAAATTGATGAAAAAAAAAATCATTTTCGCTGTAAATCAAACACTATACTGTATACATGTTTAGTGGTGATAACAATACATTGATCGATCATTGTCAGACACTGTCACTGCAGTACGTAGCGCCACTGTTTGTAACCAAAGGTCAAAATGACGCACTTTACACTCAACACTAACTGGCAGCCAATGAGGCGGGGGCGTCAAACCCTGAGTGGGTTTCAGTTCGACGCCTGTGCAATAAGGCATACGGACGACGCTGCCATTCATTAATAATGTCGTCTGATTGGACGATGTTAACCAGCTGTCCACTCACCAGTGTCACATATTACTGTCATCCTGATGCTGACAAGTGTCCAGAGGAGGTGGCAAGCCACAGGGTTCAGGGCCCTGCTCTACTATACACCCATTAATAACCTTTTCTGTTCCCGGGCCACCACCGAGGATCGTCTTCTTCCTCTTTCTCCCTCCATCCTCCCTCCTCTACTGTTACACCAACTGTCTCCATGTCCTCTTTCACTACATCCATAAATCTCCCCCAGGGGTCGTCTTTTTCCCCTCCTGCCTGGCAGCCACATCTCCAGCGTCTCTGCTCTCTCTTGGTGGCGTTCGTCCATATCAACTTAATCTCATCTCCAAGGCCTTTAACCCCGTCTGTCCCCGCAATCCCACTTATTTCTAATCTCCGGGTGATAAGCTCAGCATTTTCCTCTCTGTGACAAAGTCTGAGCTGGAGGCTCAACCCTGACTGAACCGTACATAACTCTTACGAACGTCACCTTTTTTTTTTATTGTTTTATTGTCAACTCACCTTTTTACACTTTTCTCCGTCCGTTTTCTGCGCCCTGGCCAGAAACTTTGACACGACTCTTTTCTGCACTGTCCACAGAAATGGACCGAGTCTCCGCAACGTTATCTTTCCACTTGCTCATTTATCTCATTTACTCACACATTCTGTCACTTCTTAATTAAGGAGTCAGGAGTTTATTTGTCACATGATCAGTTATACGCATATAACTAGAGCTAATGTCGGTCCCTGAGTCGCTGTCAGAACTGGAGGGAAAAAGATAAACACTGGAAACACGACGAAGAACAGAGGTTATTGTAAAAACTCTGCCTCCACGACACATGATCGAGTCTAAAATTCAGATTTTTACCCAACATGAGTAAAGAGTATAATATATAATACATTGAAACTTGAATTCTTACTCTATGGAATTTAGTGGGGACCTGTTTTGTCAATGTACTCTACTTGTAGGGAGACATTGTCTTAGTGGTGACCTATTTGCAGGTCCCCATGGAGGAAGACAAGATTCCAGATTCCTGATTTGAATTAAAGTTAAGGATCAAGTTAAGGAGGTTAAGGATATGTTAGTGATATATTTGTCATGTCTGTGTGAAGTGTGAGCCCTCTAGTGGTCCTCAGTCACATCCTTGAACGTGGACAGTGGGTGAAGGGATTGGCTGACATGGATAAACACAATACACGCTTGACAACTAGGTTGACCAATGGGAGCGGGCCATGTTGACGCACTGTTGACGTTCATGCCCAGGGTTGTGGTGAAGTCGTACAGATCCATTGTATCTCACTCAACACAGTAACGTTTATTTAAGACATGCACAGGCACGCTCTGATAAAACGCTAATTTTGGCACGAGATTTTTTTTTTTTTTTGGTCCAGAACGTTTAAAATAGTCCCAGCATGAAGTTCTTTTTATGCCCAATGACGGTGTATGGCTGATTGAATTCTGCAGTTTCAACAGATATTCTTTGGGTGGAGCCCAGTAACTCTGTGTGCGTGTTGTTTGGAGAGACATCCTCCCGTGCCCAGTAATGTGCCATCAGGCATAAATAGCATTATGTATTACATGAGGCAGCCTGTATGGGTGGCCAACAATTTGCCTGTTTAAATAGAAGCGGCCTTACACTTACCATGATAGACAAATCAAGCGGCGTAGTTTGGGGTCAGTGAGGTTAGCCAGCTCAGAAAAAAAGATGTTTCTTTAAGGAAAATGATAACGCAATAATTCTGGTTAATTTGTGTCATTTATAACACAAATATAACATGAAAAAAAATGACATTTTTAAACTAGCTGTGCATCACATCAAGGTAGAGCAGTGAGAGCAGCCCTCAGTACAGTGGAACCTCGAGATACGAGTAAAGCTTATAGACGCCGACATTAGGGGGCCGAGCACTTGGAGCAGCCCACGCCGCCTCACTCGTTCACTTCACGTGTTCGTCGACCTCCGTACACGAGTCTCCCGTGTTGTGTTTGGATTATCAACGTGATTTTCTCTCTATTTGGATCTCAAGGCTCCACTGTACTTCACTTTGTCGCAGTTTTTTCCCGTCTTGCGGAAAAAATTTTATACTATTTTTGCTCTCATTCTAGTTCTATTTCTAGTTCTTTAACATATTTGTTTTAACGTGCGCTCATACATGTCGATGAAGGAGGCATCTTAAAGTTTGAATTATCAATCAGGAAATTTATTTTGATATTTTATTTGCACGTTTGCATTTTTGTGGCACGATAACAGGACTAAAAATAAATGTAATAAATGATGTTTAACTGTGAATCGTAGTAACTGTAGGAAGTTCAGCAACAGGACGACATCCAGAAGGTTCCAGAAGACATCAGAGTCATTTGTAAATTCCCACCAAACTACAATTTTTAAATGCAAATATCTTATTGCCCCGTTGGGATAAATAATGAAAATCTGGATCTAATAAAAAAGTCATTAATTTTTTTTTTATTTCTACACCTATACAGAACTAAAATGTCATGTTCTCAGACGTTGTTCTCCACCATTCTCTCCCACAGCGTTAAGTGATGAGGCGTAAAATTCCCTCCATGTCGTCTCCTGCGTCACGCCTCTGTCTCCGCAGAGGTCGAGGACTTTAGCTGAGCAGTAAATATATTTTTATGCGTGTCCTGGAAACCATGTGTGAAATGGTTTGCTTTGCTGTTTGGTTCCTTCAATGGTTCCTTGGTTTTAAGAGAGTCTCGCTCTGAGCCAGAGGTCACATGGTTTTTGTATTATGTCTGAATCCATTCCACCAAGTGTGGTACAGTTATTTTAGGGGCTTCGTGCAGCTTTGTAAAATAGGTCAATGGTCATTCGTGATTCGACTTGATTGTGTTAAATAGATAGATCTGTCTGTCTCATTTTTTTTTTTTGCATTTTTGCCTTTTATAGAGTCGGACATTTTTATTAAAAGACATATCTGGACTGCAGGCAGGCCTGTACAGGCCTAACTTTGGTCATTTGTATTTTGTAAAAATGTGATGTTGCCTTTGCCTTTTGTTAGAGATGTCCGATAATATCGACCGACCGATATCATCGGCACAATATTAGCATAATTGTAAGAATTGTTTTCATTTGTTTCTCCCATAATGAAAACCCAATAACGCAATGCCTGGGTTTCGCCAAATAATGTTTGCTCTAAAAATAGTTTTGGGGATAAACGGATGTATGTTAAAGTGAAGTCACTAGATGGCAGCGTTGCAGCTCATTTAATTAATCTATTTTATTAATCAGGGGATTGTAGGCAGAATGTTGGTGACAGCAACTCATACAGTGGTTTATACTGATAAATAAATAAATATTATCAGACCTTTATCGGTATCGGTTCATATCGGATATTGGCAAAAAGTAATATCGGACATTCTTTTTATATATTAATGTGGGTTGGAGTAAAGTGTCAAACCGTCATACAACCTTATATTTTTCTACGTTATATTTTAACAACTAATTGCTAGTGTGATATTATTTTTAGTCCCGACTCGTCTTCCTTTTTTGTCCAAACTATGACAGAGATGGACACAGGTCACGCTAAAGGTCCTGCTTTTTTTAAGTGTTTGTTTTCAGTCTTTATGGAAGACTGATGGCTGCATCAGATGTTATTATCATTTTTATTTTTTTTTCACCTATCTCTGCTTCCCGGGGCTCCAGTGTCGACCACAAACCAAATTATGAGAACATGATATACAGCATACGCAGAGTGGATCGGGTTTGATGCTCATTTGATATGTTTGATACTGCAATAACCCAAAGTTGGAATGTGATCTGAAAAACATGCACATGCATTCATTAAAGTAAATGTTTGTTTGTTTTGTAATTGACCGAACGCGACCCCTCAGAAATCAAATGTCAGTCCGATTAAACTCATCCCACTTTGGATTTATTTTTCTATTATTTAACTCTTTTTCTATTTTAATTTAACAAAACTCAGAAGGTTCGCAGGTGTGAAAGTAAGTGTGATTTTTTTTTTCTTTTTTTGTCCCAGGCTACAGAACGTAAGTGTGATTTTTTTTTTTTCTTTTTTTGTCCCAGGCTGGTGACGTAATAAAAATCATCACGTCTATATAAGGATATGTTCTTCTTCACAGCTGCTAACCAGCTCCACATTAACAACATATTCATTTAATATAAGTTGAACGCCTTACGGATGATGTGTGATTGATATTTCAAATACTACTGCACTGAAGCATCATCTAAAATGTTTCATTGTCAGTGTAGCCTCAAAATGTCCTTCTTAGCTCAGGTAGGTTTTAATTTTCAGAGTTTTTTTTTTAAATCTCAGTTTGATCCAAACAACAAACTAACGAACGAACAGTTCCCTCAGGATCTCAGTACTGATTTATATCCTTGTGATTCCACGACAAAAATTTGATTACTAAAAATCTGACACTAAAACTGTTTTGGAAAGTCGTGTTCACTTGTCCCGAACGAATGGACTTTGAATGTTAATTGACTTAATGAATAAAAATGAGATGTGATTCAATGCTGTGGCAACAAAAATATTAGTTACAAAAAATATTATTATATAGAAATGGGCCGAGACAATAATGATAATAAAAATAATCACTATTGTTATTATAGTTACAAAAGCATTAATACAGTGCAATTAAGTGCATTAAATAATTAATATAATACATAGTTAATTTAATAAAAGAAAATGAGATAAATAAATACAAGCAGTGTGACTAAAATAAAACTAACTAACAAAAAAACAATATTATTAATGAGAATTTGCCAATATTATTACTATTATTGTTATTATTGTATGGTTAGGTGAGACTGGCATTAAGGGCAATAGTTAATCAACTTAATGAATGAAATTGATTGTAAATACTCACAGTCTGGGAACTGAAATAACAGTATAACTTTCAGTAATTCAGTACTTTAAACCTGAGTGGTACTGAGTGGTCGTCCTATCATCATATAATGCCAGAGGGCGACCATTAGTGACTGTGCTGTGATGTGTCACCATGGACCGACACAAATTCACTGGGAACACTAGGAATTCTTCATTCCATGGTGATATTCCTTCATGCTGTCAGAAACCTAAAAAGCTGTCTAAGCTAAAGGTCGGGTCGTGACATTTCCGTTACATAACACCGTCAAAAACAGGGAGCCGTAGCACCTCTGGTCGTGCCTTCACTATTTGTTTGTACCAAAAAATGTGTTGAAGACATTACCTGCAGAGAGGAGAGCAGGACCTCCAGGCCACTGGAGACACTTGTGGACGCTGTCATTCTTTGTTGTCCTTGCTCTGTAGCCGTCAGTCAGTTGGCCAAAGAGACAGACACAGAAGTAGACGGTTAAAAAGGCTAACGCACAAAGTTGTCTTTAAAGAAAAAAAAAAAAAAGAAATTAAATTAAATTAAATTAGACAGGCACGGCAGGACTCAGACGGATGGAGATATCCACAGAGTCCAGTGGAACTTCTGCACCGGACCCTGTACCCACTCACGTACAAATACAGTCCCACTTGAAACCTGAAGCATCTGTCTGTCTCATTTTCTCTCTGACACCGAGACAGACGTCAACCTGATGCAACACGGCTGCTGTGTCCAACGACAGAGCGAGGGAGAGAGAGAGGGGATACAAAGACTGGAGGAAGAAGTGTGTGTGTGTGTGTGTGTGTACACACATGGATGCAGCATGCATGTGCACACTCTGATCACTTTACGCTTGTCTCCATGTCCCCAAAGTTACCATCGCCACAGGGTGTCACACCGCAGACGTAGTTGTTTGATTGGTTGTGATGTGTGTTTAACGTGAGGAGAAGTGTGTGTGTGTGTGTGTGTGTGTGTATTGTTGTGTTTGAGTGCATGCGTACATGTTGTGCATGTGTAACTCTATCCCTCCAGGATAAAGCACTCCAGAAAACATTTGTGCTGTGGTGTTGAGAAGGCTGTCACTATAAAAAGCCCTCCAGGCAACTGCAGGACACAAACTATAATCAGAGCCCGACCTCAGAGACTAAAGGCTGATGGGGGGGGGCAGGGACAGGGACAGGGAGGAGGGGGACAAAAAGTAACCTCACCATTTCCTATTCTGAATAGCCTCGACAAACATCAGTTTCAGATTCAGACTTCTATAAAGAACATCTGAATGTGAAACAGAATTAGGTCAAAGATGTCACAAGGGAAATGTCTCCGATGTGTTCAGCAAGTTGGACAAGTCTCCGCCCAAGGCTTCACTTCCTGTAGTGCCCGTCGTAGCCTGTCAGTGGATTTTAGTGGATTTGGCCTGAAATTTTATTTCGGGAATTTGTATCTTTTTCTTGCGATTCTTGCAAGTAAAAACAGGGCTAGTGTGGTCGATAACAATAACAATAAATATTGGTTAGTATCAATACGCACATCGGTAAGATATTTCAGATATTTCAGATATTTCAGATATTTCAGATATTTCAGATATTTCAGATATTTCAGATATTTCAGATATTTCAGATATTTCAGATATTTCAGATATTTCAGATATTTCAGATATTTCAGATATTTCAGATATTTCAGATATTTCAGATATTTCAGATATTTCAGATATTTCAGAACGAACTAGTTTGGGCCTCGTTACCAGACGTTTAATAGAATTTCAGTGATTTTGTTTTGCTGACATTAAGCTACACTGAAACAGTGTATTCACAGCATTGATATATGAAGTATAAGGTATTGGTAGCTTCACATTTCAGACATTCTAGAGGGTTCTAGATGACACCGTAGCTGAAAAACTTTTTAAATTTGTGCTTTACGTCAAATGATGTGTCTAAAAGTCATCGAAGGTCGTCAAAAAGCCCTACAGGACAAACATGAGCAAACGACGCCATGTTGGAATCAGAGTGTGTCTGGTCACCAGTGATGAAAACCACAATCGGACAAACAGGAAGTTGATGTTATTGTGATGCCGGTATTAACAGGAAGTAGCTAAAAAAAATACCCAGAACCACGACCTAATGAGGTGAGCGCTCCAACACTTGACCCTCAGAGAGTGCAGACTTTTCCCCAATAAGGTCAACGTTAGCTTATCCTCCAGTCACATGATAATGGTCAGAGAGACCTTGTTATTCCCACCAGGGATATGAGGCTAATCCACATGTGTGGTCATGCCTATATTTCTGGCTCCAGGATCCCCCCCGACGCCCCGGCTTGAGAAACATTTAAACATAGATATACACACACACGCATACACACACACACACACATTTTCTCCATAATGAGGGAAGACCGACCGGCCGTGCTGCTTCAGCTGTCCTGTTTGTCTATTTCTCATGTGGCAGGAAGCACAGCATACAGTACGTGATTTACATCAACGGGCATCAATTTATCTGTGTGGTCAGATAAGTCTGTCTGCCTGTTGGTCGGTCAGTCAGTCTGTCTGTCTGTTGGTCGGTCAGTCAGTCTGTCTGTATGTCTGTCTGTCTGTCTGTCTGTCGACCGGTCGGTTGGTTAGTCGGTCAGTCTGTCAGTCAGTCTGCCTGTTGGTCGGTCAGTAAGTCTGTCAGTTTGTCAGTCTGTCAGTCTGTTAGTCTGTCAGTCTGTTAGTTAGTCAGTCTGCCTGGTTGTTGGTCGGTTGGTCAGTTGGTCAGTCTGTCAGTCAGTCAGTCTGCCTGTTGGTCGGTCAGTCAATCTGTCAGTCAGTCAGTCAGGCTGCCTGTTGGTCGGTCAGTCAGTCTGTCTGTCAGTCAGTCTGTCAGTCTGTCAGTCAGTCTGTCGGTCGGTTGGTCAGTCGGTCACTCTGTCTGCCTGACCAAAGAAATTGTTCAAATAAACTGTTGGAGCAGCTGATGTGTCAAGAACAAACTGTGTGAAATCCCAAACCTCAGGGAGAAAGACAGAGTTCCTGGTTCTGGTAGAGAACGTAACGTGACCTAAACGAATGTAAGAACTTCCTGTCTGTGTCTGAGTTCCACTGAACACTAAACACCAGACAAAACACTGTAGCAGCCAATGTAGCCGAGGCTGTTCACTACAAGACAACTACGACAACTACGACAACTACGACAACTACGACTACGACAACTACAACTACGACAACTACTAGTACTACGATGTATGCTTATTGTGTCCTTATTTTATTCTCTCGTTTATTGTAGCGTATTGTCCAGTTTGTTTCGCTGAAACACTAAAGCTGATTCTGACATTTCTGTTCCTTCAGTATCCTATTGGTTGGTGTTTAACATCCAAATAATAATAATAATGATCTGTCTGGCGTTCTTTAGTCCTATCGGTCTGTGCTTGAACGTGGTGGATCTGGATTCGTCCCCATGCTCCTCTGGAGAGTGTCACTTTTCTGCCCTGTCCAGTTTCATTCACACTTGCTCTCATTTTGCTCTGGCATGATTTGGGTGTCGAATGTCTCATTAGACTACTGGATGCTACTTTGCTCCTGGCTGCTATGCCTCTGATCTGACACCCCATCTCACTGTGCAGAGCCAAGACACAGAACGCACGGCCACATTCAGGACATAACGGCCACATAGCACGGATAGCGCTGCACTTTGACTAGCGTCTTGTCACTCATCCCACAACAATTTGTCAGCTGGGCTGCTTATTCCAGAGACGTCGCTGACAGAATTGATGAGATTATTGATATCTTATGATATATTATTGATATGACACTTGTCAGGTTAAATATATGTATATTTTAACCCCAGGATGAAACATTAAATATACATTTTTCTAATTACAGATAACTGTTACAGATACAGAGAAGATCAATTAAAGGGACTTCACAAAAGGCCAGAAATATGAGTTAACTCTCACATTAAACACTTTTATAAAACGCAATTTAAACTCAACTTAAACTCAGCAGTGTTTCCCAACCGGTTTTGAGCCACGGCGTCATCAGGAGAAAACCCCACGGCACACTACCAAACAAAAATCTCACAAAAAGTAAAAAATTTACAAAAAAATGTACTCCTGTTTAGTTGAAGAAAACACTGATATACTGGCAGGAATTAAATAAAGACACCCACGCAAAAACATCTTCAACAGCTTCGATTTTTTTTTTTTTTAGTTTTCATATCCAACTGCTGCCCCCCAGTGGAATAGGATTTAATTGCTCTGCCTGTCACACATTGACGAACAAAGAAATTTGCAACAAATAAATAATATTTAGGCAACACCTAACGATCTCTCACGGCACAGAGGTTGGGAATCACTGACAAAGAGTAATGTAGGATGTTTTGTGTAATATACCTTTACAAATACACGTTTTTACAGGTATACCAGTCTCTTTTCAGGGAACTGAGCAACAAGAACCGGCAGGACTCCAATCACGATGAAAAAACTATGTTTTACACTAATGACACTAATGTTCTGGGTATTTGTGGAGAAAGGAAGTTGGTTTGGTCACGCTGCAAATCTGCCAGACAAAGGCTATGAATCCCCGATGCTGGTAACAATCTGCACAGAACCTTCAATATTCAGCAGGTAACATGAAATGTCAATTTTGCCTGACAGACCTGCAGATTTATCTGATCCAAAAGTCCGACCCAGGCCTGCAGAGACATCTGGCTTCCTCGTGGTTGATAGAGTTACAGCGAGCTTTTTTTTATGCTCTGCTGGACTGTGGTTAATGACAGTGATTTACAACGACACTCCGAGCTACTGCCACTCTGTGGTTGTGTCTGTCACTGCAGGTATTTTACAGTGCACAGCGTTCTGGAGTGGTGGTGAAACATCTGTAACCAAACTGCAGCTGTGACATCCTGCAGGTCGACAGAAGAACAGCACAAACTTAGATGAAAGATACACTACATTAGGATTGCATAGTGAGCTGCTAATAGCTCAGGTCGTCTGAAACTACATCAGCAGCCACAAATTAGTGGAAAAAATGCAAATGTCAATTATTGCAAAAGAAAAAAAAAAGAAAGTGTCAGTAAAAAAAGTCGGTTAAAAAAAAAAAGACCTGATAAAACATGTGTCATATGTTCTTTACTCAAGTGTTATTAGGCCAAGAGTTCATCTCCAAAGTCAGTGGATGCAATATTTTTTTTAAAAATTATGCAAAATGTATTGTCTTAAAAACTGAGAAGCCAAACTGTTTGGGTTTTTTTTAAATAGAAACCAAGGAAGTTGATAAGTACCTCAAAATGTCTGCAAAGGTCAACTTTTTTTGTTTTCATCTACAGGGCACAATGTGATCCTGCAGTGCAACTAAACGCTCGGTGTCTGATCCCAGCCTGACATTAGCCTTCGGATCAAGCCGTCGCCCTGTCACCACTTTGTACAAATATATATGACAAGTACAAATAAACACACACACACACACACACATGCGCGCTATAGTCCAACGCACCTGTGTAGGAGGAACGGCAGCCCCTGAGCTCCTGCAGTGTTCCATTCCAGGTGAAAATATTTTGGCGAAACATGGTGGCTGTTTCTCTGTAATCTTTTCTCTTTCTCTCACAGATTGTCTGTCTGTCTGTTTGTCTGTCTGTCTGTTTGTCTGTCTGTCTGTTTGTCTGTCTGTCTGTCTTTTTCACCAGGCTTAGGACTGAATAGGTCCCTCCCCAGCTGTCCTTCTCATCTTCTCTCAATGGAAACAAGTGTGGTGGAAGCCAAGCTTGGTGTATATCACCGCAGGGACACTTATAGGCACCTGGTGGAGATTTAAAAATAATGCCCTTTTGCTCGACCAATGTATGAGCGCGCGTGTGTGTGTGTGCGTGCGATAGGCTGGTGCAGTTGCAAAAGTCGTTTGTCTTTGATGGGATTCCAGAGATCTTGTGTTGCACCCTCACCCTTTACTTGGTTACATAAATAGACTGAGATTTGGAAACACTATGCACTTCACCCTCTCGAATACTTCGTCTTACACCAGGCATGCTGTTGTTCATGCTACATTTTTAAAATGAATCTTTGTAACAGCTTGAATGCAGTAAACTGTACAGTAACAGCACTCTGATTGGTCGGCAAACAGCGTGGGCTTGTGAGAGAAATTCTCAGAAGACCCTAAAGGTGCCCTAAAAGTACCTGTCTGACATCTGGGTGATCAGATCAGATGATTTCATCTCAATCAGCCTCCACAAAACACTAAATATTTTTGCCCTCACATCTGATGAAGCCAAGATCCTCGCCTAGATTAAAATCTTCTACTTTCTGTATTCAGACTGATATATTTACCCAACAATCAAAGTCAGGACAATCTCTAATAAATATATATATATATATAAGAAGGAATTTGTAGCCTTAACATCTTTGAAGAGATTTGCATGTAATGGTTGTTAAGTTGGATTTTCCTAAGAGAAGTGTCCATGAGACATTTGTCTATAAAGGAAAAGATAAGGCCTCGAAGTTGAATATTTTACCTTTATTAAATATATATATAAATATATAGACTCCCACGCAGATTAAGAACATGGTTTTATAAGGAAGTCATTCACAAAACACTGAAGCCAAAATGTTTACTGATGCCTCACGGTGGCATACATGCAGCATGCACATAAAAAGGGAAAAGAAAAGACATAATTCGCATTTCATGTTGTAAATTATTTCCATGATTTAACTCCCAAAACTGAATCTAATACTTAGTGTTAATTGGTCTTCACTTCAACTTTTTGAATTATACTTTCTCTCTCCTTAACATAAATCACTATTACTAAACTTTTTTATATTATTTTTAAATGCACACAAGATCAGACCTTTTAGTGCGCAGGAGGGTAAATAAATAAATATTTGAAAAACATCTTTATTATTTTTGTATTATTTTTCTTGGACTCGGCAACCATGAAATTGAAGCGTAACAAGAAAATCAAGAAAATATGGTGAGTATCCACGATAACGCCACTGGGTGGCAGCAGAGCGTATAATGCTTCACTCTGTTCAAACTAAATAAGGGAGAAGAAGAAATTCAAATTTACTTGGAACGGGAACTCATCCGGCGTTGGTAAAGTTATTTTGACAGGATTTATTTGTACCCTCAGAGATTTAGAAATTTCTAGACAATCTATTAAAAAAGATAGAACCGAATTCCCGTCTGTCAGAAAACAACAATGTTTAATGGCGTTTGTTATCGTTGTAATGATTTGGGGGAAATGGTCCCACCGTAGACCGCGGCTCCGACTGTAACGTTTTTACGTTAACATTTCTAGTCATTAATGTTTAACTGCAGATAACGAAGTAGTGTTGTCTGTGAAATTTGTGTTGTAATAATCACATGTGTGAATGAAGTGACTGTTCGTATTCAGGAATATGAACGAGCTGGAGGATCTCAGCCACCACATTCACGACAGGATCTCCTCTTTACAGCGCATGCTCGACCTGTCAGTTGTTGGTAGGACAGAGTCGTTTCTTTTATATTTGAACAATATATTATTAACCTGCTGTTTTTATGAGTTAAAAACCGACGCAAATTAAATCTTGGTCGGTTCTTATGTTAGCATTTGCTCAACATGTAAAATTAGTCCATAGAAAAAAATCGGGAATTATTAAAAATGTCGCTCTAAATGATGTACATTTCCTTCCTTTAATGTCGTTTTCAGCTTTGCCCCAACAAAAGATAAGGCAACTCGGAAAAGAACTTTATACTTTGGAGACACTGTTGGAGGACTTTGAAAACTGTGTTGACAGACAGAAGAACCATCTCAAACAACTGAAGGTGAAGATAACGTTTTTCACAATTAGATGGACGGTTGAAAAAGAAGGCTGACAGAACAGACATGAAATGTGTGCTTGTTCGCATTTCTCTGGTGGGGATTAGTGATTTTGCTGTATGACATATATTATTTCTATTCTTTTCTAACAACAAATGGTTCTTTTTCGATCAGGAACTTGACACTTCGATCCAGAACAATGTGGAAAAATTGAATCACCTGAAAGACCATGTTCCAGCCCAAATGGCTGTGAGGAAAGGACCAGTAAAGTGAGAATACAGTCCTTTTTTACTTTTATTTCACATGAAAGTAATTTAGCAGTTAAAACAATGTGGTGCAAATATTTTATTTTTTTTAAAAAACGTATACTTCTGGAATTGATATAATTTTTAAAAAAACGTATACTTCTGGAATTGATATACTGTGTTTCCATAGTTTTTCAGTCACTGTCACTTTAACCCAGTCTGTGGCTGCAACTGAAGACTGCGTCTCACAAAGAGAAAGTTCAATTTTTGTTTTTTTACATATCTTTTTTGGAACATGTAGTATAGTTTTGAAGCACACGAGGTGCTGCTACAATAAGTTAGGATGTCAGTGATCTAATAACTGGGATTTGTCGCCCCCTGTCTGTTAAAACCATCTGAATTTTGATGATGTTCTCTTCTGACCTCCATCTCTCAGTGACAGCGACCGTGTTGTAAACAGAACAGAAGAAGCCGTTGTTCAACAAGCTCAAACAGAAAAGGTCAAAAAGAGAAGCAAGAACTACATCAGAGAGATAGAGTTCATCACCGTGGCAGAGTTTGAGAGCATCCCTCAGTAAGTATTCTTGACCGGGTAATGCCGGACATGACAACAGTTGTATTCACTGATGATTAAATATTTCATCATTGACTCTTGTTATATTGCTGCTTCACTTCGTGTAAGAAACAGCAACATGTGGAGAAGCGGTAATAATAAACTCTGATACAGCTGCCCGTTGGAAAATCAAAGTGAATTATGTCATTTATACATCCAAGCTTTCTCTTTCATTTTTCCACAAGATAAATCCTTTTGGTTTTCATTCTCCCTTTAAGGTATATGAAAGGACGTGTATCATATGAAAAACTTAATGCTGCAGTGCAAAGCATTAACACAGCTGTGACAGCAAAGTACAAGATCCTCCATCAGTCGGTGAAAACTCTGAACAACCATGCTCGAAAGCTGTACCAGGGCTTCAAAGAGCAGGAGACAAAGGATACAGAAGGTAAAAGTTTGGTCCTGTTTAAAAAATAAATAATAAGAATATATGTAATAATGTGTTGTATTTTGAAATTAATTTAACCCCTATTATCTTTGCAAAACTAAGTTAACTTTTTTACTTAGTTGGTGACACTGTTCTCACAGAATGTCAATAATGTTATATCTTGCAAATTAACATAAAACATAAAATTCCCAACCTCTGAATATCAATTTGGTAAAATTCCCAACCTCTGAATATCAATTATGCTTTAAAGCCACCTAGTGGCGAGACTCCCAAGTTAAAATTCTCCCTTTAACTTTAAACCTTAAGGAGGATTGGATTTGGATTTGGCATAAAAACTGCGAACCACCACTGTAGCGATACCTAGAGGCTTATTAACGTAGTAATAAGTCCATTCTTCTTTGAAAATGTACTGATTTATGCACATAAAAAAGTCTAGGTTATTGTAGCCCATTAGCTTCACACCCCTAGGGTTGAACTGCTAAACTCATTGGTCATCTGTGCTGAAGTCGGACTATTCATGAAAACAGTGCCCGGTATTTTCAATGATGAAGACAGACAACAGTGGCTCCTGTCGTCAAGCTCCAGTCATTACTCTATTTCCAAATATCATCCATGTTAACTGTTCAATACGAGCCCTACATTGTTACACTCAAGTCTTAAACACAGTCAAACTACCACATGATCATTTTATTATCAGGAATTTATTGCATTTTGTAATGGTGAAAAACATTTTTACAGTAGAGGAAAAAAACCTCAAAATCATAAGATCATCCTGAGTGTGAGCTATATCTTCCAGACCTGCCCTCTCTTGGCCTCTTAGTGGCTGGACAGAACAAAATGATAGTGTCTCCAAGTCACAAGAGTGAATGTTAATATGAAAAAAGTCCCAAATACCAACAGTATTCCTTGGTCAGGGTAAGGCTCCCTGAACAAATCTCCTACAGTTGTTTTGAAATGTCTTACAGGTCAGTACTTCGTGGTGGACGATGACATATTGAAGTTCGCTGAAACAAAAGTGGACAAACCGTTTCGGGGACTCTTGAACATGCTGCGACACTGCCAGCGCCTGCGGGAGGTACGGGGGGGAGGCCTCACACGATACATCTTGTTATGAGAACAGAACACACCTTCAGGTTTGCCTGGCATTCTGAGCCTGCGGTGTACATAACTGTCCCTTTAACATTGTGCAAAGATTATTCTGGAGTTAATAAACAGTATAAATGTACAATGAAATGGATACAGATCATTTGTATTATTATATAAAAAAAAAAAGAGAGCGATCTGAATGAATGGATTTTCTTGCATTCTGACTCTTGGGAAGGTGTGTTCAACTGCAGACCTCCTGCATTTGGCATTATTTATTATTATTAAACCAAGAAGAGAAAATAGATCAGCATTGATCAAATTTGTCAGTATCATTTGGTAAAACCACATCAGAACCAATGACGTTACGCTGTTGTTCTACAAGTCTGTTGTGGTTCCTCTGTATCTTGTCCATCAAGTAACTGATGCCTTCTGAGGACAGTAGGTCAGTTCTGGTGATCTGTCCCAGTGCTGTTGTCATGTTCTGCATCACATCTATCAAAGGCTCCACCACGATTGAGTATCGGGTTTGCAGCTCTGCAGCACTGCTGACGTTACACAACTGTTCCAGCTGAACGATGGCGTGTCTGAATTGACCTTGAACGTTAGCAATTAAATTTCTCACCGTAGGTGTATCTCGCAATTTGTTTTCTAATTTGTCTAAATTTATCCATTTGTCAACCCTCTCAATATTGGCCTGGGCTTGAGAGATCTGCAACTGGTACTCTGCCACTTTAATGGAGTAGCACTCGATCTGAGATTGACTGTTCCGCACCACCTCGTCGGCTCTGTCCACCGCTTTAGAGGCATCCGCCATGTTGTGTATACCAGGTAAACCTGTAAATGTTTGAAAATGTTAGCTGAATATATATGTTGTGTGAGCCATTTTAGTGTACCATCACATTAAAAGCCATGTTGTCCTACCTGGAATCCACCCAACAATGCCATTAATATTTGCTCTTCGTTTTTTTCTTCTTTTCATCCTATTTAATACGTCTACTGCCCATTCCAGGTGTTTCTTCTCGACCTCCAGACTGTTCTTGTAATTCGTTAATGAGGATTCATGTGACTGCAGGCTTTGTCTCAAGTTGCTTAACTCACGTTCACTTTCCTTTTTCTGATTTGTTAATACGCCCAGCTCTGCAGTCAGTTCCTCTGTCTCTCTATCAATTCCCTCAAGTGCGTGTACTGCTACCTTCTGTGACGAGTTCATGTAGAAATCCATATTTTTGATCTCTCTTCTGATTTTACTGTCATCTTGCGTTATAATACCGTAGGGGTCTGCAGGCATGTGAAGGAGCATCTCCATCACAGCTGTGAAGGAAAGGAGCCCTTTCTTCAGAGGGAAGACCACGGCCTGGGCCAGTTCATCCAAACGTTGCTGCTTCTGAACCTCTAACCTGTATTTTTTGGGAAAGGAGTAAAGTTCAGGAACTAACAAGAGGATAAGCTGAACAATGTCGTCTAAATGACATTTTCACAATGGTGAGTTACTGAGAAGAAAATGTAACTGCATCAACTTCAACAAGGACAGTTTTGACTTGTTTGTGAGCAATTTTGGGAGATTTTAAAATTGTTGGTCAAAAGAGAAGAAAGAAATTGTGTGGTCAGAGGCTGGATGTTATTAGCAAAGGTTTTTGGTTCTAGTTTTAAAAAATAAATCTTTTGAAGGCTCTTGGTAAATTAAAATATTCAAATCAAACTCTGACAAAACCAGTAAAGACAACGTATTTAACTTAACTTGGTACGTGTTGTGGAGTATATCATGAATACCATAAATAAAACAACCATTGGTTAAAAAAACTCTTACCCTCCAAAGACAGCCATGACTGCAGCAAAATAAAAAAAGGTCCCTACAAAAATAAAAGGAAAATTACAACCGTATAAAATTTTATTGTAAAATGTTTGTTATATGTTTTAGAGTAATTAAACAGTGATATTAAAACATTGAAAAAGACAACTTTTCTACGATTCTGATGCTACCTGAGTTCATCAACGTTAACATGAACAGCAGCCTTTTCCATCAGCTCATGTATAAACTCTGTTACTTCTGTCAATAGATTTTTAGATCCAGTAAACTAAACGAAATTTAATATACCGAGCGCGATTTAAAAAAAAAACATAATTCGATTAATTCCATAAACGCGATAATATTAACAGCCTTAATTTTAATTTTACTTGCAGTGAACTTTGCGTTTAAACTCTGATTTGTCTAAACTGTCGGAAAACGCCGCTAATGAAAATCTTTTATCGAATAACAATTCGTCCCGTAGTATTCTTACCTGGTTGCTAAGTTCGGATAAAGAAGAAAAGTGGGAATCTTAACACAGAGGATGGAAGGAGCTTTATCTACTGAGGAGAAATGGGGGGCGGGGCAGGGGTGGTGTGACGCCCACCGCTGGAGCTCTGCTCAGAAGTCACCAGAAAGTCTGTTTACTCTCGCGAGAGGGAACGTTTATTTTTACCTTATTCACAGTGAATATCCGTGTTTTGGGTTCAAGTTACTTGTAAAAGTACAACGGAGTGTTTGGGTCCAAACTTAGTGGTTATATATGTTAAATTACGAAAACTATAGTCATGAACTTATGACAAAGTTGTAATATTAAGAGAAAACGGTTGTAATGTAATGGTGTTTAGAAACAAACTGTATAGTTCTGTCGTTGACCAGAATAAATCCAGACATTTAGATACACTTCCTCTACTTTAATCCAGAGTTAATGCTGAGCTATTGCTTCTCTATCAAGACACCTTTGTACTTACCCTGTAATTATTGTCCTGTTTACTTGGAATTATTGCCCTGTTTTTACTTTGTAATTATCACCCTGTTTTTATACTATATAGCTTTTAGTTTTTATAGTTTGTACCTTGTACCTGTTCCACCTTTACTAAGTCACCTTCCCCTTCTGTTGGGGATTTTTTTTATTATTATTGTACTGTGTTTTGTGTAAGCTACTGGATGCCTTAATGAAGTACATATCTATTGATCTAGAATCTAGATAGATAGATAGATACTATCTATCCTGTGACTGTTATGGGTTATAACAAATAACTAAATAAATATATATATATTCCTATAGTTTATTTACGTTTATGTATGTTATTTGTCTACTGTTAATCTGCCATAAGCGTCCATGCCCAACTGAAAGAATGTCATTGTTCATTAACTAGATGTGACAAAAAAAAGTCTCAATTTTTTTTAATGTTTGTTTTTCATAAACAACAACAACAGCATGTGGTCATGAAGGCAAACATGTTTTCTCTCTGTCCCATTACTGGGTGAAAAAATGTCACTGCAATTATTTCATATTTTCACTTCGATATTTCCTTTATAATCTGCAATGTACTTTTCTGCTGTGGACACATTGAATGTCCCCTTCCTGGGGCTAATGACGGACTTATCTTATCATAACATCTTTATGGCTCTGCGCCCGTCCCATTTTTTATTGTAGTGAAACAACTTTCACTTTTGGTTTCCACCTTCAGATAAGCCTTGTGTTGTGCACAGACAGCAGATAAGATACATTTACAACTATGTTGTTTATCATGCATCTGACGATAGAGTTTCTTAACGGATTTCCCCTCATTAACAGTAACCGAATATTAAGGGAAGTACATGTTTTAGCTGGGGTGCACAGCTTTGCCTGAGTGTAAACCGGGCGGCTTCTCAGAAATCACGTGGTACACTGAGCATAACAAAACTGCAAAAAAGTAAAGTACAGTCTGTTGTGTTTTGTTATGTGGTTTGTTTTTTAACACAGTTTATTAACGAGTAGATATTAAAAATGTTCAAACCCCTCCCTTGATGATGAAAACAAAACTACCAAAGAAGTTCACGTCGCCCGGATCGATGCCACCAGGGACCCACCCCGGAGCCAGGCCCGGGGTTGGGGCTCGCGGGACCCGACCAAGCTCAGCCGGAACAAGAGACGTGAGCCCACCTTTCAGCAGGCCCACCACCCGCAGGAAGGTCCACAAGGGGTGCATTTTGAATTGAGTGGTGGTCGTGGGCGGGGACCCCGACGGCCCAATCCTAGGACATCTAGTCTTAGTCCTATCGTGAGGGTCTGTTGGGAGCGTCTTGCAGAATTCCCTGTGGTCTTCAACTACCACCTTCAGAAGAGCTTCAACCAGGTCCCGAGGGAGATTGGAGACATTGAATCCGAATGGACCATGTTCTCCTTATCCATCGTTACCGCGGCTGTACGAAGCTGTGGCCGTAAGGTCTCCGGTGCCTGTCGTGGCGGAAATCCTGGCGGAGTCCTATCGCGCCTGGTTGGTTTGGGGGACTCCTGAGACAGTTGACAGGTACAGGCTGGCCAAGCGGACTGCAGCTCAGGTGGTCGCAGAAGCAGAAATCCAGGTCTGGGAAAAGTTCAGGGAGGCCATGGAGGAAGACTATCAGTCGGCCTCGAAGAAATTCTGGCAAACCGTCCCGCCAACACTGTTTTCAATGAATGTGGGGAGCTGTTGTCCTCGACTGGGGATGTTGTCAGGCGGTGGAAGGAATACTTCAAGGAGCTCCTCAATTCCACTGACACGCCTTCTGCAGAGGAAGCAGAGGCTGAGGACCCGGTGGCTGACCCACCCATCTCCTGTGCTGAAGTCACTGAGGTGGTCAAAAAGCTACTTGGTGACAGGGCACCGGGGGTAGATGAGATCCACCCTGAGTACCTCAAGTCTCTGGATGTCACAGGGCTGTCTTGGCTGACACGTCTCTGCAACATTGTGTGGCAGTCGGGGACAGAGGCTCTCGACTGGCAGACCGGGGTAGTGGAGGTTGTGTAACAACTACCGAGGAATAACACTCCTCAGCCTGCCGGGGAAAGTCTATTCCAGGGTATTAGAGAGGAGAATTCGACCAATAGTTGAACCTCGGATCCTAGAGAAACAATGTGGTTTCCTTTTTGGTATTTTAATTTTGTTCTATGTACACAACTTCAGTCAATTTATTCCTTAGTGGAAATGGTCACTTTGATACTTGTATCTCACCTTGTAAATACTGTGTCTACAATGCTGTTACTTTAACTTTTTACAGATCATTTGTATTATTATAAAAAAAAGAGAGCGATCTGAATGAAATGTGTCAAAACTTATAATCCATGGTGTTTATGAAATCTCAGTATTAAACCAAGAAGAGGAAATAGATTAATAATAATCAAATTCACCGTCTGAATCATCTGAAACCACACGAAAACGAATGGAGTTACGCTGTTGTTCTACAAGTCTGTTGTGGTTCCTCTGTATCTTGTCCATCAAGTAACTGATGCCTTCTGAGTACAGTAGGTCAGTTCTGGTGATCTGACGCAGTGCTGTTGTCATGTTCTGCATCACATCTATCAAAGGCTCCACCACGATTGAGTATCGGGTTTGCAGCTCTGCAGCACTGCTGACGTTACACAACTGTTCCAGCTGAACGATGGCGTGTCTGAATTGACCTTGAACGTTAGCAATTAAATTTCTCACCAGAGATGTAGCTCGCAGTTTTTTTTCTGATTTGTCAATCAGTTTGTCAACACTCTCAATATTGTCCTTGGCTTCGGAGATATTTGACCTGTACTCTGCCACTTTATTGGAGTAGCACTCGATCTGAGATTTACAGTTCTTCACCTCCTCTAGAGCTGTGTCCACCGCTTTAGAGGCCTCTATCATCTCGTGTACACCAACACCAACTAAAGCTCCCCCTGTAAATGTTAGAAAATGTTAGCTGAATATATATGTTGTGTTAGCCATTTTAGTGTACCATCACATTGAAAGCCATGTTATCCTACCTACAATCCACCCAGCAATTGGGATGACCATCAGACCAACACCAACACCAGTAACTGCTGCTCCTCTGGCTCCTCTTTCGTTCATCTTATTTAATGTGTCTCTTGCTGATTTCAGGTTTCTCTCCTCGATCTCCAGACTGTTCTTGTAATTCGTTAATGAGGATTCATGTGACTGCAAGCTTTGTCTCAAGTTCCTTAACTCACTTTCACTTTTCTTTTTCTGATTTGTTAATACGCCCAGCTCTGCAGTCAGTTCCTCTGTCTCTCTATCAATTCCCTCAAGTGCGTGTACTGCTACCTTCTGTGACGAGTTCATGTAGAAATCCATATTTTTGATCTCTCTTCTGATTTTACTGTCATCTTGCGTTATAATACCGTAGGGGTCTGCAGGCATGTGAAGGAGCATCTCCATCACAGCTGTGAAGGAAAGGAGCCCTTTCTTCAGAGGGAAGACCACGGCCTGGGCCAGTTCATCCAAACGTTGCTGCTTCTGAACCTCTAACCTGTATTTTTTGGGAAAGGAGTAAAGTTCAGGAACTAACAAGAGGATAAGCTGAACAATGTCGTCTAAATGACATTTTCACAATGGTGAGTTACTGAGAAGAAAATGTAACTGCATCAACTTCAACAAGGACAGTTTTGACTTGTTTGTGAGCAATTTTGGGAGATTTTAAATTGTTGGTCAAAAGAGAAGAAAGAAAGTGTGTGTTGTTTTTTTAAATCTTTTGAAGGCTCTTGATCAATTGAAATATTCAAATCAATTTCTGACAAAACCAGTAAAGTCAATGTATTTAACTTAATTTGGTACGTGTTGCAAGGTATGTCATGGATAACATAAATAAAAACAACCATTGGTTAAAAAAAGCTCTTACCCTGCTAAGATGGACATGGCCATGGTTGCAGAAACAAATGAAAGGTTCCTGCAAAATAATTAAAAGAAAATGACAATTGCATAAAATCATATTGTAAAAACTTTGTTGTATATTTTAAAAACGTTTATTAAACATTGGAAAAGACAACTTTTCTACGGTTCTGCCTGATGCTGCCTGAGTTCATCAACGTTAACATGAACAGCAGCCTTTTCCATCAGCTCATGTATAAACTCTGTTACTTCTTTCAATCGATTTTTTAGAGCCAGTAAACTGTTTGAAAAATTTAACAAACCAATTAATTCGAATAATTCCATAAACCTAATAAACGCGTTAATATTAGCGCCAGCCTTAATTTTAATTCAAAAATGCATATTCTAAATTTAACTTTGACTCATTAGTATATTCACTCTGGTATACTTCCATTAAGACTGAGTAAACACTAGTTCATAGAACAGACTTTAAAATACTTGACGGACGACGTGACCGAATACTGCAGACGACACCGACACGATAAACTATCTAACAACAAGTTAAAATATAATTTCACCTGCAGTTTTAACTTTCGCGTTTTAACTCAGAAGAGGCAGAAAAACGCCGCGAATCACTTTTATCGAATAACAATTCGTCCCGTAGTATTCTTACCTGGTTGCTAAGTTCGGATAAAAAGAAGGAAAGTGAGAATCTTAACGCAAATGATGGAAGGAGCTTTATCTACTGAGGAGAAATGAAGTGGAGGAGGGATCTGAAGGTGCGGTGCGACGCCCACCGGGAAGGAAGACCACTTCACAGAAATCACGTGGTACGCGTTAGAATTTTATTTTTTTTTATTTTTTTTTTTACTTATTTACAGTGAATATCCGTGAAGGCACCACCGTCAAAAAAATATTGATACATTGACACTGATGCTCGCTTTACTGACAGTCTGTAAGTTTTGGGTTTAAGTTAATTGTAAAAATGCAACGGAGTGTTTTGGTCCACGACATGACAAAGTTGTAATATTAAGAGAAAACCGTTGTAATGTATTGGTGTTTAGAAACAAACTGTATAGTTCTGTCGTTGACCAGAATAAATCCAGACATTTAGATACACTTCCTCTACTTTAATCCAGAGTTAATGCTGAGCTATTGCTTCTCCATCCAGACCAGGGCTCTGCTGAATATCACAAAAATACGAACTCTTCCAATCGTATTTGGAGTAAACAAACACCTTTTGTGACTGGGTTGTTTTTTTGTTTTTTTTGTTTGTTTGTTTGTTTTTTAATGTGTCATTTGAATTGTGTGTCCATTTAAAAGACCAACATTTTGGAAAAAACTGTGCTTTTGGGTTGTTACCTGCAAAACACACCACGAGAGTACAGTGTTGTGAATGGTGTAAAGTTTGGGAACTAACAAGATTACCACAATGGTGAGTTACTGAGAAGATTGTGTGTGTGTGTGTGTGAGAGAGAGAGAGAAGGATTACATTTAGTTACCAAGGTTTTGTTTAATTATTATAATATCAAACACATCAAACTTTACATGGATATAGAGTGTCAACAGTTGAGCAAGGTCGGTAAAAACTTTACTCCGAGTCCTTGTGAGACATAAAGTAACATACAGTAAATAGGTAAATGAGTAGCTAGTCTGAAATTGCCCCAGACTGCACATGTTCCAGGTTGCTACTTTCCTTATCTGTATCTACTGTGTATACCACTTTGCTTCGTGAAATGTGACTACACACATTTCTTATATGAACGAAGTGAACAAACAGCAGAGCGAGAATTCAGAATTAGTAATAATCATTGTCATCACATCTCATCCAGTCAGCGTGGGCGTCAGGTTTTATCTGATGTTCCAACAGTTTTCTATGGTTACGCTTTATGTTGTTCATTAAGTACAGTATGCCTTCCCTGTGCAGCAGGTCTCCTCCACTGATCTGACCCAGTACTGTTGTCATCTCCTCCATCACCTTCATCAAAGGCTCCACCATGATCAGATACCGGGTCTGTAGTTCTGCCACGCTGCCTACAGCACCCAGCTGTTCCAGCTGAACGATAGCGCACCTCAACTTTTCTTGAACGTCAGCAATGATCCTGCGCTTCACAGAAACATCGCGCAGAGTGGCCTCTGAGTCGTGGATCTTTACATTAGCGCTATGGATGTCACATTCAGCTTTGTGGATCTTGGACTTGTACTCTGCCACTTTCTCAGTATATCTTTCTATCTGAGATTTGCACCTTTTCACTTCTTCTTTAGCTTTGTTCACGGCTTCAGACATCTGTTCTTGTTCTTTAATTAAAGAATTCAGCACTGCATAACCTGTAAAAAAAAGTAAGAACAAACAAAATATGTTGCAAGAATAAACCAAAAGTGGCACAGATTCAAAGCTGTGTTTACGTACCAGCAGCCCATCCAACAATTGGAATCCCAATTAGGAAACCACCAACAAAAGCTCGTGCCGCTCCCCCTTCCTGCTTTTCTCTTTCCATCTCTTTGATTTTGTCTAATAATTCTTTCAGGTTCTCTTCCTCAGTCTCCAGATTGTCAGCATAATTTTGCAGAGAGGATTTGTGTGACTTTACGTCTATTTTAAATCCACTAAGTTCACTCTCACTCTGCTTTTTCTGATTCATTATTGTCCTCAGCTTGGCAGTCAGGCGCTCCGTCTCCCCATCAATATGGTGAAGCTCATTTAAAGCTATCCACTGTGACTCTTCCATGTTTCTGTTCATTTTTTCAATTTGATCTCTGATATCATAATAAACTGAAGTTTCAGGAAGGACGATGTTCGCTTCCATGCTGAGGAGCATCTCTGACACAGAGATAAAGCCATGGAGGCCCTTCTTTAGTGGCCTGGTCACAGCCTGTGCTAGTTCCTTCAGATGCAGTTGCTGTTGATGCTGAAACCTACAATTAGAAAAGGTTGACCTCAGTGACTGAGGTTACAGCCAATCAGGGAAGAGTTACCTTTAAACACTAAGACAGAGGTCATATGGGTCATAAGAGAGAGAGCCATGCAAGAGGGTGACATATCAGATCATGGAAAGGTTAATACATGTTAGTATATGGCACTACCAACCCCAGTTTAGGATTAAAAACTGTTTCATACAGTGTGATGCACCGTTCCAATGTGGGTTTGTGGGTTTGAAACATCCGTCTTCACTTAAGATTACCTGTTGTTCTGCTGTTGTGTCTCAAGCTTACAAAGCAGAATATTAGTCTTTATTGGACATTAATGGCAAAAAACTACTAACAACTAACAACTAAAAATACAGAATAACAGTAAACTTTTATTTTTTTAGTACTGGTTTTAGTACGTTACAGTGACGTTGTGCAGCATTCAAGGATAACTTGAAGAAAATGATGGTTAGAACGTGGTTGGAACATTCTCCTACCCACTTAAGTTGACCATGGCCATGATCAGAGCAAAAAAAGATAATTTTGGTTCCTGCAAGAAAAAAGGGGGTTGTTACAGGTAGTTTTATCAACAAACAAACAAATATATACATACGTATATATTCCTATAGTTTATCTATGTTTATGTATGTTATTTGTCTACTGTCAATCTGCTCGTGTCAGTGCCATATGCGTCCATGCTCATCACAAAGAATTTAACTGTTCATCAACGAGATGTGGCCACATTTCCCACACTAAGGGAAGTACATGTTTTAGCTAAAAACACAACAGGGAATGAAACGAGGTCTGTTTGTAAAATAATGCCGGAAAGTTCTTGTTAGATGTACATACTGAATGACATGCATTTGAATTCTCTCACCGTTTCTGTTCTGTTCAGTAGAAGAACCGGTGCTGTAGTGTAGTGTGTGCTGTAACAGCCGTTGTGCAGCAGATAACGGCGGAGTGGGGGGAGAGAGGGGGAAGTCCACTGCTCTGCCTGAGTGTAAACCGGGCAGCTTCTCAGAAATCACGTGGTCGACATTGGTATGTGTGTGTGTGGGAGGGGCTGAGGCTGTTAAATGTATACGCTTTTTTTAAAGCTAAATTATCACGTGATTTCTGAGAAGCTGTTTGAGTTATATGAAGGGACAGCGTAGGTTCGGTATAAAAAGACACGTTCACTTTACCTTGCACCATTGTTTTCACTTCGACTCGGGAGCTGTGCAACTCAAGGGCAGGTAGGAACAGAGGGGGTTTACCTCGAACTCGTTGCAGATATTCATATAGCTAAAGAGCGATTCAATTGTTTAAAAAAATAGTAAAAGACCGAGTATTCAGTATCTTATTTTTCAAAGTTTTCCGTGATTTCCAAGCAGTATAATTTTATAGGTTGTTTTGTTTGTGCGTTTCCGCATTTTTTCAGTTATTATCAAACCTTTTGAATCAACAGGGCTTTCCTATATTCAACAGTTCTGTGTAGGTTCTCAGTCATCCAGGTCATTTAATAAAAAAAAATAGTTAACGAAACGTAACAAAACAACAACTACTTTGTCCCGTTGCTTTCGATGTGAACAGTGTGATGCGTTTGAATACAGCCGTAGTTTCCGAGCGGTCTTTGAACGAATCATCGCAACCATCTTGATGGTTCAGTTACACTAGTGTTGGGAATACCGCCTCTTTTAGGAGAGCCGGGACTTATCTCTCAGGATTTGGAAAGGATTTGTCCAAAAAAGGAAGCTCTTGTAAAGACTGTTGTAACTGTTGAAGAAAAATGCATTAAAAATATAGAATCATTAAATGTGTTTAAATCTTTGATTTTCAACAGTATTCATCATGGCCTCAAATATCGCTGAGACCACCCAAAGTCTCACCACTGCAGCAGAGATGAGGGAAACCACAGTGATGCTGATGCAGCCTGATGCCAACTGGGAGGAGTATCTGACACCTGCTCCTCTATCTATTGCCATCTTGGGTGAACTTGTCTTCATCTCCTCTGGTACTGACTTCTCTATAATAGACAAGAATTCTGAAAGAAAGACCTTTAAATACATTAAATACCCAGAATCCTTCAGGGCCTGCCTCATGCAAGTCTGTAACTCTGGATGGAACGCATTCAACGAGGCTCACAAGAGCATGGATAGAATCCGCCTTCACACTTCAGTAATCCCAGATTATATAAAAAAATCTGTCCAGATTATTTTCAATGCTCCTGATAACGTGATTGAAAAACTCCTGCCAAGTCAACTGGAAAACATTCGCTCCATTGCTGATGATTGTAAGAATCTGGCAGAAAATGTTGAAAAGAAGTATTTAGATGTCATCAATTTGATAGGGGAGTTGTTGGAAGCCTGTATCAATGCAAAGTTGTTTTATGGTACTGAGCTAGAAAATGCTCAAAGGAATTTAAAATCTTTAAAAATGAGAGAGGCAAGTGCAAAAACTGAAAAAGAACAGGCCAAAAAACTAATGGATGCCATGGCAAAGGAGCTGGAAGAATCAAAGGAGACATACAAAAAAGCCATGAACTCTATTCCCTCTGGATGGTCAATCATTGGCATGAACTTTGTTGAAGGGCTAACAAATGCTGTGGTAGGAAGAATGAATGGAACTCTCTCTTCAGTAATAAGACCAAAAAATAGTGAAGAGGATGTTGATGAGGCCTCACAGATATCTGCTTGTTCCAAGTCTACACAGATTTTAAATCACGCAAACAATCTAAGTCAGTATGTGATTGGAAATGACATTGATTGGAAAAATCTGTATGATTCACAGAAACGAATAATTAAGACGCAAGTTGAACTGAATGAATTCATTAGAATTCGTGGTGAACTGGACACACTTTCAAAGGGTAAACTTTGCGTGGAGGCTCTTGCCATCTGTGATCTGGGTATCAACATCTGTAAAGAGCTGGGAATGCATACCCCAGAAAAGAAATGGAAAAAAAAGGAAACTCTAAAACTTGTAGAGCGTATCAAAAAGTTGACCACTGATGCAGTCCGTTTTGACACTGTGAGTAAAAAAACACTTAACTCCCCAGCTCTTACTCCTCAAACTCCAATGAAACACAAGGTGGAGAAAGAAAGTTCTGGACCCAAATCTGCAAGTCAGATGGAAATTGAGAATGCACACTTACGCATAGAGCAGAGCACTGAACAACTCAGATACGCCCGACAGTTACATGAGAAGCGTTTGGAGAACATGGCAGCAAAAGAGAAGGAGCTGAATGATATCCTCATAGAAATGCAAAACTGCAACGTCAAACAGATTGAGTTTGATACAACCATCAAAATGCTGGTCAAAGGTCTGCAAGCCATGGGTGAGGTGAAAGAGCAGTGGAATAAGATGGTCCTCTTCTTTCAGATGGTTTCCAACATCATCTCAATCAGCCTCCACAAAACACTACATAATTTTGCCCTCACATCTGATAAAGCCAAGGTCCTCACCTACAGTGAAAAGCTTTTTACAAAAGACCTCATTTACACTCAGCCCTTTCAAGCCTCAAACATCTCCAACCTGGTCAACATGATATCATCCACCTACACTCAGGTCTCCAACAAGTATCTGATGGATAGAATGAGCAGCCTGAGCAGGCTTATGACCATGGATCCAAACAGTCCAGACTTTCTCCCAGAACGTCTGGAACTTCAAACCTCCTGCAAGGATGCTCAAAACGACATTCGGCAGCTGGTCCTGAAGAACAAGGCGGACTATGAGAGAATGAGCAACAACAGAATTGCGAAAATAGAGGGTCAACTCAAAGCCATTCTACCTGCTGATGAACCCCAGCAAGTTCAGAAAATAAAAGAAATGAAAGAAATGGTTCAGTCTGTGTATGCTGAAGATGAGAGTAATTATTACTAAATGCTGTTTACTTCCCATCTACTTCTTATTTTTGTTAATCCACAGAAATGGAGCTGTGGGTGCTGATGTACTCAAAAGTGTGTGCATAGTCTTTCTTTTAACCCATGCCACCTGTGTCCATTTCCATTTCTTAAGTGAAATTTATGTTCGACATTGTTTAATTAATTTGATCAAGTGTAGCCATAAAATATGCATTTTATATTTCTGAAACTAAGAAGCAAACCTGTTAACAACCTTATTACTTTCAATTATGCTAAGCTTGTGTTAGTAGCAACCTTTTAGTTGATAATCAAGATGTGATTGGTTACAATAATGCTCATGATAGAGGTATTATATATATGCATTCTGTTTGTATATGTGTGTGATCTTCTGAAACAAAAGTGCCATTTTACTATAGACCACAGGGACATTGATGATGTCCTGTACTGTATATGTCTTTGTTTGTGAAAGCTAGCAGTTAGGTGGTTAATGAGAGAGAGAAAAAAAGTTTTCTTTACAGCATAATGTCCATGCTTATATCACAATTTGTGATCTTTAATAGTACTTAGAATTAACTGTATATGGGCGATAAAATGATGTTTGACCAGTTCCTCTCTTTGTATCACTGTTTTTTTTTCTGACTACATTAATCTTAATTATTATATATATGTATTCTGTTTGTATATGTGTGGCCTTCTGAAAATAAAAGTGCCATTTGACTATAGACCACAGGGACATTGATGATGTCCTGTACTGTATATGTCTTTGTTTGTTTTCTTTACAATTTAAAGTAATCCAATGTTATTCATTTTAGCACTGTAGATTAGAGGTTGCATAGTTTTAAAATCCACACTCATATAGTGAAAGTATAATGTCCATGCTTATATCACAATTTATAATTTTTAATAGTACTTAGAAGCTTCTCTTGTGAACAGTCTGGTAGATACAAGAACAATTTACTGTATCTGGGTGATAAAATGATGAATGTGTTTAACCAGTTCCTCTCTTTGTATCACTGTTTCTTGTTCTTTTGCCTTTAGACTACAATGTATGTAATACGGTACATGACAACATCCCTAGTGTCATTATCTACAAATCTAAAAATAAATAACTACTAAAGTAATGAGTTCATGTCTTTTGAAACCAGTGATGTAAATTGCCCATTCAGTGTTCTGATGTTTGTTCATTATTATGGCAGATCACTAATGTCATTCACGGCTACCTTTATGACAAACATATACACTTTCTATGAGTGACGTTGTCTGATGTCATAGAAAGGAGTACTAAAATTAAACAGTAAGACGAATGTGTTGTCTTCAACGCCACAATCTTTGTTAATCTTTTATTTTGATGGGCAAACTTTTATTTTTACAAGCAGAGCAACAGCTTTGACAGAGTGAAAACTTTTAATAATAATTGTCTTCAACTGTGATACATTTAATCTGACGTGCCATGTGTTTTTCATGGTTACGCTTTATGTTGTTCATTAAGTACAGTATGCCTTCCCTGTGCAGCAGGTCTCCTCCACTGATCTGACCCAGTGCTGTTGTCATCTCCTCCATCACCTTCATCAAAGGCTCCACCATGATCAGATACCGGGTCTGTAGTTCTGCCACAGCACACAACTGGTCCAGCTGAGTCACAGCACATCTAATCTTTTCTTGAACGTAGGCAATGGAGTTCCTGGTCTGGGAAACCCGTTGTAATTGGTTTTCTGAGGTTTGAATATTTTCATTCGCCTTTTGAATGTCACCCTCAGTTTTGTGAATCGCAGCCTGGGACTCCGAAACTTTGTTCAGGTAAAGCCCGACCTGAGACTCAGAGTTTCTCACCACGTCTTCAGCCTTGGTCACAGCTTCAGAGGCCTGATTCATCTCATTTATACCAACACCAAGCAGAGTTCCACCTGAAACAAACACACATGAATGAATTGCAAATTTTGATTCCAGTGCACATTGTCAAAAAGAAAGACTGAAAGATGTGTTTACTCACCAATAATCCAACCAAAAATAGGGATGACTAACAGACCACCACCTACACCAGTCATTACTTCTCCTCCTTGTTTTCGTCTCATCATCTCATCTCGTTTTTCTTCTGCTTCCTTCAAATACCCTTTTTCTGTCTCGAGAGCTTGACGGTAATGTTGTAAAGAGAATTTGTGTGTCTGCAGCTGCTTTTCCATGTTCTTTAACTCACTCTCTCTTTGTGTTTTCAAATTGGTAAAGCTGAGAAGGTCTACAGTCAGACGTTCTGTCTCTCTGTCAACGTCCTGAAGTCTACTTGATGCTATCTGCTGTGACTTTTCCATCTGATCATTTACATCCTGAATAAGTTTTCTGATGTCATGATAAACTTGGGATTCAGGCTGGATAATGTCTCCGTCTACACTGAGAAGCATCTCTGACACTTTGTGAAAGGAGCACAGTCCATTTGTCAGTGGACCACTCACAGCCTGGACCAGATCCTTTAACTGCAGACGGTACTGTGGCTCCAACCTGGGTGTTAGAAGAGGTTTCACTTTAGAAAGAAATATTTGCTAAGAGTTGTTGGATTTAAAAAATGACACCAAACATACTGTGTATGACTGTGGTCTTTGTAGTAGACTGAAGCTGTACAAATATATGAAAAGCTTAAACTCTTACGTGTTAAATGTGGCCAGATCCATGAACACAGCAGATTAAACTTAGATAGTTGTTAACTGCAAGAGAACCAGGAGAAAATACCAATTATTATATTAATATCTGGTATTGACATTTTTTAAAACCACATAGATTTCAGTCTGTTCTTCATTATCACTCATCTTCGACATAAGGCAGTAGTTTAAATTTTTGTATCATATAAATTACATAAAAAAGTCATTTGTTTTTTTTTTTGTTTTTTTTGTTTTTTTGCCTTTGCTGATGATCCAGACCATCATCGAGATTTAAAATGCTGCTTACACAAAGGTGTCATAAAGGTACCTAAGGTGGAGATTGATAACATTTTTCTAAAATTAAATACTATTATCATTTATAATGTGTTGTACTCTACAGTATGTTTTATGTAACCACAAAATCAAAAAATGTAAAACTCTGTCTCCCTCTTTTGGTGAGAGATCAGATCGTGGATTTAGATTCCGTGGTTCACTTTAAGATGTCTTTCTATTAAAGGTGAAGTCATATTCAACACATTTAAGCGTGAATTTGTAGAAATAAAAATCGGTTACACTTTCAATACAATGCACCTGAACAGAGATTGTTTTAGTCAAGGTTTCTTACCAGTGTTTCCAGCCTTTCCTGGGTCCGTGAAGGAATGAGAGCAAGTGGGAGGGGAGGGGAGCACTGATTTTAAACTGTTCTGAAGGAGGCTGTCTTAACATGACAGCACGTTAGTGTATTCTACATTGGGTTAGAATGAATGAGAATGTGAATTGTTGAATTGTCTTTTTATGTCACTTTGTTTAACTGGGAAACTGCAGGGAGGGACCGCAACCGTTGTCTGTCTATGACTGTGTCCATCTCCTGGGTGAATGTGCACAGGATAAGGCATTAGAAGGTGAATGAATGACTAACTGTAATATGATTTTTGTTCTCACTTAATTTACAGATTTGTCCATTACATCTAGTGTCCGATGTCTTGGTAATTAAGAAGACGCCAACACAAAAAGTCTTTGGATTTTTTTTTATTTTTTTTTTGTGACAGGTAATCATTGCTATTTGTATATTTGCAGTCTAATTTGAGGGATTTATTGCACTGAAAAAAGCACATGAACCAGGGGTTTAAACCTCCCAAACTTCGATTGAGCCTGACTAATGGCATATTGTCTTTATTAAACAAGATAAAACAGCCTTAGTAGGCTATGTAGCAACGACACCAAGTGAAACGTGACATTAAAAATCGAAAGTAAAAGAGTGAAGCCTGAGTGCTTCTTGAATGTCCAACAGTTTCTCAGAAATCACGTGGCGGTTATAAAGTAACCAAGGCGTAACCAGAGTTTTTAGTTTGGGCTAAAGAAAAAAAGTATGTACCACGTGATTTCAGAGAAGCTGGTCGTTTCTTATCAGTCGGAGAGGGGAGGGTCCCTCCCCGTTGACCACCAGAGGGGGATAAAACCTCCCTGCCTCATCACTACTCACATAGTCCTCGACTGGCTCCCGGTTCTTGTGACACGGAAAGGAAGACTCACAACCCAGGTAAATAAAAACAAAAAAGTCATTGTTGACGTAGATTCAGTATATAGTACTATAGATTAAAAAAATCCTGAGGTCTCTTTGAAATATTGTGCAACCTAAAAAAAAATCCTGCATATTTTACCGGAGGTCTCTTTGAAATATTGTGCAACCTGTGACGTCCGTTGACTGAACTGTGTACGCAGAACGTACGTTGTTTTGTGGTGATTGAACTGAAAATGTTAAATTGTTGACAGTTCACATTGTTGAAATAAACAGGCTGGTAATTCCTCATAACGATTCCCACAGAAAAGGATATTGCAGTTGCCTCGGACTCAAACACAGATGTTAGTGACGTAGCACTCGAGACTGGTGTTGGGGTCGAGACCATACTTTCAACGTCTTGGTCTTATCACGGAATCGACTGCAATTTCACCCGGTTTCGCTCGAGATTGACTCCCGCGAATGTGGGAAGTTCCCAAATTAAAATGAAAGCGGTGCAGTCTTTTATTTTGAAAGTGTTGACGCTGCAATCCGGCTGCAATCGTACTGTTCTGAAGAAAACAATTTTAGCTCTTCATTTTTCTTTCTCGGTCTCGGTCTTGGAGTTAATTTGCTCTTTGTGAGTGCTCCTGTACTCCTGAGTACTTTTCATCGTACTTTGATTCTCGGACAAGATGCAAAACCCTTGCGAGGACGCTGAGTGTCCCCGAAATGCGAAGTACAACGGGAGATCGCTGCTTTATTTAAATTCAAAACTAATTATTTTATACATATTTATTTTCAACAGTATTCATCATGGCCTCAAATATCGCTGAGACCACCCAAAGTCTCACCACTGCAGCAGAGATGAGGGAAACCACAGTGATGCTGATGCAGCCTGATGCCAACTGGGAGGAGTATCTGACACCTGCTCCTCTATCTATTGCCATCTTGGGTGAACTTGTCTTCATCTCCTCTGGTACTGACTTCTCTATAATAGACAAGAATTCTGAAAGAAAGACCTTTAAATACATTAAATACCCAGAATCCTTCAGGGCCTGCCTCATGCAAGTCTGTAACTCTGGATGGAACGCATTCAACGAGGCTCACAAGAGCATGGATAGAATCCGCCTTCACACTTCAGTAATCCCAGATTATATAAAAAAATCTGTCCAGATTATTTTCAATGCTCCTGATAACGTGATTGAAAAACTCCTGCCAAGTCAACTGGAAAACATTCGCTCCATTGCTGATGATTGTAAGAATCTGGCAGAAAATGTTGAAAAGAAGTATTTAGATGTCATCAATTTGATAGGGGAGTTGTTGGAAGCCTGTATCAATGCAAAGTTGTTTTATGGTACTGAGCTAGAAAATGCTCAAAGGAATTTAAAATCTTTAAAAATGAGAGAGGCAAGTGCAAAAACTGAAAAAGAACAGGCCAAAAAACTAATGGATGCCATGGCAAAGGAGCTGGAAGAATCAAAGGAGACATACAAAAAAGCCATGAATTCTATTCCCTCTGGATGGTCAATCATTGGCATGAACTTTGTTGAAGGGCTAACAAATGCTGTGACAGAAATAATGAATGGAACTCTCTCTATTTTGACCAGGGGTAGGTTTGGACAAAATAGGAAGAGTGAGACAGTAGATAGAAATGATGAGGATGTGGATTTGCCCGCAGAAATATCTGCTTGTTCCAAGTCTACACAGATTTTAAATCACGCAAACAATCTAAGTCAGTATGTGATTGGAAATGACATTGATTGGAAAAATCTGTATGATTCACAGAAACGAATAATTAAGACGCAAGTTGAACTGAATGAATTCATTAGAATTCGTGGTGAACTGGACACACTTTCAAAGGGTAAACTTTGCGTGGAGGCTCTTGCCATCTGTGATCTGGGTATCAACATCTGTAAAGAGCTGGGAATGCATACCCCAGAAAAGAAATGGAAAAAAAAGGAAACTCTAAAACTTGTAGAGCGTATCAAAAAGTTGACCACTGATGCAGTCCGTTTTGACACTGTGAGTAAAAAAACACTTAACTCCCCAGCTCTTACTCCTCAAACTCCAATGAAACACAAGGTGGAGAAAGAAAGTTCTGGACCCAAATCTGCAAGTCAGATGGAAATTGAGAATGCACACTTACGCATAGAGCAGAGCACTGAACAACTCAGATACGCCCGACAGTTACATGAGAAGCGTTTGGAGAACATGGCAGCAAAAGAGAAGGAGCTGAATGATATCCTCATAGAAATGCAAAACTGCAACGTCAAACAGATTGAGTTTGATACAACCATCAAAATGCTGGTCAAAGGTCTGCAAGCCATGGGTGAGGTGAAAGAGCAGTGGAATAAGATGGTCCTCTTCTTTCAGATGGTTTCCAACATCATCTCAATCAGCCTCCACAAAACACTACATAATTTTGCCCTCACATCTGATAAAGCCAAGGTCCTCACCTACAGTGAAAAGCTTTTTACAAAAGACCTCATTTACACTCAGCCCTTTCAAGCCTCAAACATCTCCAACCTGGTCAACATGATATCATCCACCTACACTCAGGTCTCCAACAAGTATCTGATGGATAGAATGAGCAGCCTGAGCAGGCTTATGACCATGGATCCAAACAGTCCAGACTTTCTCCCAGAACGTCTGGAACTTCAAACCTCCTGCAAGGATGCTCAAAACGACATTCGGCAGCTGGTCCTGAAGAACAAGGCGGACTATGAGAGAATGAGCAACAACAGAATTGCGAAAATAGAGGGTCAACTCAAAGCCATTCTACCTGCTGATGAACCCCAGCAAGTTCAGAAAATAAAAGAAATGAAAGAAATGGTTCAGTCTGTGTATGCTGAAGATGAGAGTAATTATTACTAAATGCTGTTTACTTCCCATCTACTTCTTATTTTTGTTAATCCACAGAAATGGAGCTGTGGGTGCTGATGTACTCAAAAGTGTGTGCATAGTCTTTATTTTAACCCATGCCACCTGTGTCCATTTCCATTTCTTAAGTGAAATTTATGTTCGACATTGTTTAATGTTTAATTGTCTTTAATTTAACAAATATCATATTACACACAAATCATCTGCACAGAGCAGTATTACACCAATATTAATCAAATATTAATATAACCACACTGGGTGTTAGTTTTTTTTGTTGTTGTTTGTTTTTACCAAGACCTGCAATTAGTTTACATAACGATAATAAGTGAAATTTTACAGCTTTGTAAAAAGGACAAATTAATGTTTTTACGGTTATGTGTTGAAACTCCAATGCAGGGTCTATAATATTGAACCCTATCATATACAGTATTTGCAAGTAGTCAAGTACTGCTTGTAGATGTACCGTATGTCTTAGTGTCCTGTTGAAGTTGATCACCTGCATTTGTATTTGTCGTCTTTATATTCAATGAGATTGCATGATCGTCGATTGTAAATTAAATAAAGATGACAATATCACAAAAGAAGTGTTGTGATACCTGTGATGAATCCCCTCATTTCATGAGGGGATTCTGATGAGCTTCTGATAATTGTTTTTACTAAAGGGTCAACACACCAAGTATGATCATTGTTTGACATAGATAAAACGACAACAAGAAATGACACTCAAAATAAGTTGATTTCTATGAGTGATTTCTTTGACCTGTATGAAAACGTAAGCGAGGAATACGCTGTCAGAACTTCCGTCAATTCAGTATCCCTTTATTATCATTTATGTGTTTGGAAAAGTAAAGAGCTTCAAGCAGACACACTCCCTGCTGCCACCATCTGGACTACATAGATAAAAACATATACATTTATCACATTTAGAGCCCATATGAATGTACCCCGAGTCTGATTTGATTAAATCAGATTTTAAAGTTTCAGATATGGGTCACATATGAGTACAAAATTCAGACGCAGCCCACTTTTGCTGTCAGCGAAACGTCCTCTTACTCAGGCAGCGGAAAACAGCACAAAGGTTACTTTTAATGAGTGAATGTATGGCGGCTAAACAAGGCATTTATGTATTCACCGTGTAATGTCAGAGCTGCATTAACAAATTGTATGTTTTTTTTGCACATAGAGTTTGGTATGTCCGCTTTTATATTCACAATATTAAACAAGACTGAATTGCGGCTAACTTCGGGAATTCTAAATGCGGAAATGTAGATGTAAAGTGACAAAATGCCTTTATTGTGAAACATATTACCGGAAGCGTGGAATTATGGCGCTTCACGTCGCTGTAACCTCGGCAGAGACACTCCATACACACTGCTGTACCGAAGACTAACTGTTAAAAAGTTATGTGACACAACATGGACTGGTTCGACACCTCCCCGTTCTGAGGCCGGAACGAAACATTTTCGATAGGAGAGGGAGGAAACCTGGAATAACTGTACTCAGTTCCACAAGGTAAGAAGATACTCCAATCCAAAAAAACAAACCAACAAACAAAAACCTCATTAAGGTTGACTGACTCCAAAAGTCACACGTTGAATCTGTCTTACAGCAGTACAACTACACGAGTACTGGGACAGCGGGATTCGACGTCTGCCCTTTATGTACTGTTTATTCGTTTACGTTTGGCATCGCTGTATTTTCAAAGCCCCAAACTTGTGACATGAACGAGGAAAAAGTCGACGAAGACTGTGGACATTTATACTTGTGTTAGTGAAACGTATGCGTAGTGACGTGCTTTTACGACGGTCGGTGCTGAAGAGATGGGTGTTTTGGTGTGTTCGGGGATCGGGCACAAACCGATATCATGTGTTACACGAAGTTGTTGTGTTTATTTTTGTGCAGCTGTGATTTTAGCACACCATCTCCAGCCTGACACTGTGGGGCCTCCCCTTAGACAACGCCTGCATGACAGCGCCTCCTCAATCCAGCAGGGGCGTTACAAGACCGCGGAGCCTCTTTACCCCTTTACTCTTTCAGCAGTAATCGTGGGTGCTGTGCAGCGGTTCAAATTCAGAATCGCGATTAATTGCACGATCATGCATTTAGCCCAAATAATTGGCTTTTTTTTTTCTTGTTAATGTCATATCACCTGTTTTATCCAGTAATTTATTCAACGTTAGTGTATTGTATACTTAAAAATCCCTATCCATAAAAATCAAAATACGCATCCTTCTTCCTGTTGACATTGGCATCACTCTCTGATCTCTCTGACAATAGAACTAACTATTGTTTCCTGCTATTATTAAGCATACAGATACTGTATGTTATCTGTTTCAGTTAAATTTGAATGTACAGTACGACACCTTAAATCACCGGGGATAGCGTGCTTGGAATGTTGTACAGTTGACAGTGATTGTCCATAGGTGGCATCTCTCAAGGAATTTGCACTACGTGCTTCCGTAACCATGTTTGTCTTTGCCACCAGATGTTGTTGTGGCCTCCTGTGGTCAAACAGTATGATTGTCCATTGACTGTTATTGTCCGTAGGCTTGCAGCACTAGTATTTCCCACTTGCAGTAAAGGACAATGTGGTGTTTATTAAGCTTACGTTAAAATCAATTAATTTCACAGTGCACTGTTCTGTGATGTGAACAGTGCAACAGTGCAACAGCTTCCTTCCCAGTAGGAGGTAGCAGTAGGTCATAATGTTGACATGTTGTTTTGTGAATACAGTACAGTAGCGTCTACTGCCACTTTATGGGTGCCTCCAGTGGAAGTGAGTGACGCTGCAGCTCTGCAAAAACTGCTTTGCCACAGCTGAAAGTAGGATTAGCAGCTGCTGCTCCCTCTTCTCCTCTCTCTGGGTCTCCTTCTTTTTCTTTCTCCTTTCTGCAGCCCATTCCATCCATACCAGACATAACTTCTGGCCAGCTGAGTCAGTCTCCAGTTTCCTGATGTAGTTATCTGTAAAAGTACAGTCAGAATCACCATGAGGCTTTATAACATGTAATTACAGCGTCTTTTGGAACTGTGACCCTCCCCCCCCTTATGCCACAACACATTGGTAGTAGTGAGTGTATGATTCTGATACACACTCCAAACCAACCAAAACCGAACACACACGTCTTAGTCATACAAAAAGCCTGCTTAGCCACATTTATGCGCACATGTAGATCTCGGGGCTTATTCTTCTATGCCTTCTGTGGCTTTTGGTAGCTGACAGATTTAATGGGACACTCTGGCTTTCATTTTTCATCTGAAATTCAAGCAGGAGAAAAAAGTTTGGGTCATGTAGGTGGTCAACACAGACAAAAAAAAAAAAAAAAAGACTAGAAACTAACAGATACAAACTGTTACTGATTTAATGACAGCGATAAGACGAGGCACACGTCCATCAAGCTCAACCTAAAGAGACTGCACACAGGCAGATGACGTCGCCTTAAAGCGACACATGTCTCTTTAAGGTCCGGTCCCTACGTTTTCGACTGTTACAAAGTTCATATTTGGAGGTTAAAAAACATAGACTCTACATAAGAACTGGACTTTGTTGCACTCAGTGATTGCAGGGTGAGGTTGTGAAATAATGCTAGAAACTCTCTGGTGGTTTTGGAAATGATGTTTGTGTATAGTTGCATGGAAAGTGATTGCAGTAATGGTGTTTCTGATGACCCAACAGTTTTAGTCACAAGTTTGTTCAACAAATGTCCTATAAATATTTGCCTTGTTAAGTTCGTTTGTTATCTCCAGACACTGCTTTACATTCTGTGTCTATCAATGGGTATTTGTAGACAGTTTATCTAAAGTGATAAAGTGAGCTATTTAAAGGTGCATTGCATATAATTTACCATCACCAAGTGGTTGTTCCATGTCCTGCTTCCTTATTGCTCGTCTTAATTTCTGAAAGGAGATATTATAGCCTTGAGATACAGTAGATTAAATTGATATCTTATTTTAGGTAAATGCATGGATACGGAATCCAATTTTTAAAGTTTAGAGTTCTCCGAATCCTCAAGGTTGTGTCAAGACCACAGAGATACACTTGTTTGTTTTCTTCACGTAACCTTGATTTCTCTTCTCCTGCTAATGTCATAATTTTACTGTGAAACTGGTTGTAAGCAAGTTTGTTAGAAATATCCGATGATAAAGTTTCTACTTATTGCAGTAGTAGACACATATTCCTCATGGACTACTGTATGTATATTCTCTGTGCTGTAATTTTTGTGAACTTTATAATACAGGAAATCATGACTTATCAGTTCCTCTGTGGCTTTTCTTATATCTAGCACCATGAAGCTGAATCCACAACAGGCTCCTCTCTATGTAAGTATGATGTTGATATTTTACAATACTTTAAATACATGCAGATAAAACCTACTGAAATTCTAGGTGAAATTCTAAGCTAGTTGTGGGTGAGCTTTGTTTGCCATGTACTGTAATTAGCATGGCACGTTCGGTGGTTCTTTGCTTCAGTTGAAATAACAGTAACTATATTGGAGAGGGGTCTTCTTGTAAATAATAGTAACTATATTGGAGAGGGGTCTTCTTCATCCTCAAAGTGCTGGTCCCAAACTCTTGCACATTGCTAAGTTGCTGAGGTTTTTCTGAGGTTATGCTAACCATGCTAACTCTTTTTTTCTTCTCTGAGTTTCAGTGTCTTTTGTATCTAAGGTAGTTTTCCTGTTGCTGAACATATCAACAACAACTGGCAGCGCACTAATTGGTGCAAAGAAAAAAACAATTGTATATATTTTTTAATTGTTAATAAATAAAACAAGTTTATATTTTGTCACAACAATGATGCAAAAAAGATATAAAAATAAATTAACTTTATTTGTGAAATTTTTGTGCAAATACGCTGTTAACAGGCAGCCCCCCAGCACAGGGTTCCTCAGGGAATCGAACCCACGGCTCTCTGCTTCCGGAGCAGACATGCTAACCGCTACACTATGGAGCTGGTGGATTTGACTTTCAACAATGTGAATGAAGATGAGTCAGAATTAGTTTTTTTAAAAAAAGGTGAAAATCTCTGTCTCCCTCAGGGACAGTGTGTGTTGACTGTTCAGCTCAACAACGATGATGTGTCTCGTGCTGAGGGAGAAGAGCCTGAGAGGGAGGAGGTGGAGGTGGAGGAGGAGGAGGTGGAATTTTATTGCCTATTCTCTGGATCTACACAGAGACATGTCACCAGCACAGTGCGTGTCAGCCGTGTCACTCTTCAGGCTGTGTGTCCAGGTAGGCTAACAAAAGTGCTGGTCAGGCCCAGTGTTTTTTTTTTTGTTTGTTTTTCTACTTTACAGATAAATTCTGCCTTATTATTATTAGGGTCATGTTTCATAGTAATTGAGTAAGGATTACATTGTGCCTACTTCACTCTCTCCCTTTATCCCTGTATATGTGTTGGTGCAGCCCATCACGTTTGTGAGCAGGTCCTGGTGACCTTATGTTGGGCTCGCCCGGGTGCACCAGTAGACTCTCACTCACAGGAGACTTTCACCTTTGTTCAGGTAACGTCAGTGATTGTTGTTCATTTTAAATGGTGTCACGTTGTAACAGGCCAAACTGGTTAATCTTCTGTTAGAGACAATATTTTAGTAATGTGGATTAGTGTAACCATTAGATATTGATTAAAGCTAGCATCGACACAACTTTACTTTCAGACTTTTGTTCATGTGGTGATAAGTAAAAGCCTTGTGCAGACCTTCAGGGCCTTCCTCGTGGAACTAGCTTGGGGTCAGATAGCTATGTCCAAAGCACATAACTTCCCTGCTCACCACGCTCCAGTGTGTCCAGTGTTAACCCTTTACAGTGTTCCAATTTATTTTCAGGGTCTATACATATTACTGCAATTCTTTTAAAGACCCTGTTTTTCATAATGTATTTGTGCTGTGTGTAGGATTTGGCTCTTGACATGGCCCACTTCCTGCTTGACAGCACAGATCCTCAGGAAGCGTTGTTATTGGACGACGAGCAGGTATTCAGGAGGACTTACAGAAAAGTAAGAAACCTTGTGTAAGACTTAACAATTACATGTTCAATTTGTGTTTTTTTCCCCCCAGATTCCGCTGAAAGTGTGTAAAAGGTTGGACCAAAGCCTGGCTCTGGCCCTTGAACACCTCAGCCTGCCTTATCACACACGTGTGCAAACGTGCACACAAAGGGATGTGGGAATCCATATGAATCATCACACACAAACAGATGCACAAACACACAGTGACATCAACGGTTGTCCTTCAGCGACGTGCACAGATCCATACTTGGAGATGTCCACTTGGATGGACAGACGCTATGGTAAGATGACATCATGGTGTTTTCACCGATTGTGTCCATGGAAAGTGTCATAATTCTGGACTTCTTCGTCCGACACTCTCGCCCCAGTGGGCTTTATGATTCCCACCAAAAAAAAACCAAAAAAACATTTCTTTTTGTCTGAGTGTGCACTTCTTTCTAAAAAGATCACCTTTTATTCTAGCTGTGTGTCAAAGCCAGAATCTCTACAATCTTCTTCACTTGGCTGCCAGTCATGGTCTATGGATGGTGGCCTCATTCGTCCTGCAGCAGGATGGTAGCAGAGAGGCTTTAAGAAGGGCTGACGCTCAGGGACAAACAGCAGCGGATGTGGCCAAGAGCAGAGGACACAAGAAGCTTGGAAAGCTCTTCACCCGGTGAGTACCACATTCTGTCTTTCTGGGATTCTGCGATGACCAACACAGGTTTAACATACTATAGATTAGGCTAAGGCCCAACATTAGCAAAATTCCGTAAGAATCGTTTCCATTATCTGAGGCAAAACTGATAACGATTTTTACAGGATGCAATGCCTGGGTTTCGCCAAATGACATGTGCCCTTAAAATAGGTTTGGGGATAAACGGCTGTATATTAAAGTGAAAGTCACTAGATGGCAGTATTGCAACTCATTTTAATTTTCTGGGGATTGTCTGTCGCATGCTGGTGCCAGCAACTCATACAGTGGTTTGTACAGATAAATAAATAAATATTGCCAGGCCTACATCGGTATCTGTTGATATCGGAAATCGGAAATTAGGTGTTTGGACAATATCGGCATATCAGATATCGGTAAAGAGTTAATATCGGCCATCCCTACTATCGCTCTCTTCTTTGTTGTCATTGCAGACATGAAGCCTCTGAAGAAACAGGGGTGAAGCCAAAGAAGGAGCTGCTTCTTCTCCCAGGTGAAAAAGTCTTTCAGCATCATGCAGACCTTGGTACCTACACTCTCACATTCCTCAGCCGACAGCAGCAGGAAGGAGAAGCGGAGGCCAATAGAAAGAAGAGCTGTCCCTTACTGGAAGATGTGGAGGAGCTGAGGAGACTGATGAAGAGTCACAGAGGAACAAAGGTACAGTAAATCAACAGATTTCCTTTGGTGCCGGGAAACCTGTGCCTTTGTCTCAGCCGTTTGTAGGAATTACACATATGAAAAAGTCTTGTTATTCAAAGTAATATCAATAAAGCGTTGTGCCATTATTTTCTCTCTGCAAAATATACATATATATGCAGACCAAAACCATATGATAATGCGCATGTACATGATAAACTACGTTTTAATGACAATAAATTAGCATATATCTAATGGAAATACACCAAAAAATTGGTTTAAAACCATGTGTTTCCCCCATATGAAAACACGTGTAATTTTGGGAATGAAAAAGTACATGTACTGTTCATGTTCCTATTGGTGATTGCTTTAGTGGCTTTGATCTTCCGGATGTGTTTCCTTTTTGCAGGGAAAGTCCGGCTCTGATGCTAATAGAGAGGTCAGGTCTGCCTGCAGGCTGCAGCTCAGCCACAACCGTCAGGGGTGCAGACAGAGTGCAGGCTTGTCTTTGGTAACCACCACCACAACAGATGAACAGGGAAGTCCTCTGTCATTGGAGAACAGAGTACAAAGGGAGGACCCTGCTGTTGTCGCTCAGACTTCCTGTACCAGTGGAAGGTTTTCTCAGGGACAGGAAACACAGGGTGGCCCGAGTGATACACAAGCCGTCAGCCGTCTTACTGCACAGAAAAGGAAAAACAAAAAGAGGAATATAAGAACCACCAGACGCCCACCAGAATCTACTGTCAGTGTGAGGTCCCTAAAGGCTGAGATTGGAACTGCAGGGGGGGAAACAAAGACACCAGGAAGTGGAGCCGAGAGAGAAGGAGCTGGTTCATGGACAGAACCAGCAGAGGCATGTGCTACGATGGTTGACTGTGAAAAAAACAAAACTCAACGGCAACGTCTTTGCACCAAAAATATTCCATGTGATGAAGTTGAGAAATCAGTGGACAGGCAGAGAGTGGCCTCGCATTCTATCTCAATCTTAGCAAAACAGGAAACAGCGGAGTGGCAAAGCGAGGTGCTGATTGGTGAGCGACAAACAGAAACAGTGAGAGGAAGTTCCTCAGCAGCACAAGACTACTCTGCCCAACCTGTGGATTCAGCTGCACAAAAGACAGGTGAGTTTGTTAGAGCGCTGAGGATTAAAGGCATATTTCACGTTTTTACAGCGCGGCCTTGGAAGTATTACACATATTAATCAACACACTTACATTTATGCATTTAGCATACACTTTTATCTAAAGCAACTTACAGAGGAGGATCAACATCAGGGTTATCATGATCAAGCATGTGGTTCCTCTGGGAATCGAACCGAGACAGAATTGTTTAATCCTGATAATTCATGATTGGAAGTACGATCATGATTAATTGCGAACCACAGTGATAAATCTGATTGGAAATTTTAATTTACATGTTTACAGCCTGGTTGTTCTTTAAGTGGTTGCAGTCTTGTGTGAAAACATCATTTTGACAAAAATGTGTCTTTTAAAATGGTGCTTGTTCTTCACAGCTATGGGTCACGAACAATCACAGCAGTCCCACGCAGACCCTGCCCTCTGCAAGAACACCAGCCTCATCCAAAATCACCACCTAACTGAAAGACAAGTTAATAATATTTGCCACCATAGCAAAGACCTGGACCAGGGGGCAGGTGAAGAATCCAAGAGCGTTTGGTACGACTGTGACAGAACAGATGTGAAAAAATGTGATCTTCATGCACATCCAGCTTCCCCCCTGCTTCCTCCACAGTTAGAACATGGTTATAGTTCTTGTCAGCTGTGTACAACACCGAGTCAGCCACATGCTGCTGGAGCACAGCCAGCACCATCACATGGGCCTGCTGCACAAAGACGGGAAGTCCACGCACCACAGCCAGAGAAGGAAGTAGGCCCAGATTGGAAAGACGGAGGAGTGGAGGAAAGCCGAGCGAAGTTGTCTAACAAAGGGAGCACTTACAGCAGAAAAAGCAGCGCAGCTTCAGACACTGAACGAGGAGGAGAGCAGCAGACGGAGGCAGAGAAAGTGGCTAAAAGCAGGAAAAAAAGGAGGCAGAAAAAGGGTCGAAAAGGAGGCGCTAAACCGAGGCTTTGCCCGAGCTCCAGTGTTGAGTTGAAACGTCAGAGCGAGACACAGACAGAACAAGTTACAAGCTGTTGCTTCCTGTTAGAGTCAAAAGCCAAGGACCTTGGACACAGGGCATATGTTCAGTCTGTCGCACAACCTGAGCCAGCCAGCAAAGAGGACATGGTCAAGGAGTTAACGCAGCTTCCCAGGCAGACGGAGGACACCGGAGACTCTCCAGAACACAACGGTGACTCTCCGGCCTTTGAACTCACTTGTGCTTGTACTACAGATCAGGAAAAAACTGACCCTGCTGAGGTCGCTCCGTCACAGACATTAGAGGGAAATGATTCGGCAGCGGACAAAACAATCCAACATGATCTTTCCTTTCATCACGGTGTTAGTGACACCTCAGGCCTGGATGAATTGGACACTGCGCTGATCAATGGAGAGGATTCATCGACGATGCAAGTAATCAGAAATGAAGCTTTTGATGCAACAGAGTTAGAATCAAAGATGGCTGTCAGTCCAGTCCAGCAAACGTTGGTTAATGAAGAAAGTGTGGAGCGACCAAACATTGGAAAAGCGTTGTTTGAGCAGACAGAACTGTTGGATCTCGAGAATCTAAAGGACTTTTCTCTGGACGCCCAGGACACACAGCCCTCGTGTCTCATGCTATTTCCTGAGGAGAATACACAGCTAAAACTTTTTGACGCAAACATACCAAAACAAACGTCTGTGGAATCAGAAACCTCAACTCTGTCGTGTGAACTGGCAGAAGATGTTTTGCACCTTCAAATGGAAAATGAAAGAACAGGGTCCCCTGAGGTGGGGTATTTACTCCATTGTTTGGCCTGTGACGTGGACACGGATCAGCAGCAGGAGGTAGAAAAGCGGCGTGAGCTGTTTTTGGGTGGGGAGGAAGAGGGTGAGGATACGATTTGCAATAGACGAAAGGAAAATAATTCTGAAAAATTCCAGTCTTCCTCTGCAGTGAGCAGAAGTATATTGGAGGATGAGACTTCTTCAAATTTAGATTTAGAAAAAAGTATAAGCTATGATGCAAATCTGGTTGCAACCGCAGTCGCAGTAGTAAGTGTAGCAATAGCATCAGCCATCGTATGCATGGAGCGGGCCCAGGAGTCTGCAAGCAGGAAAGAGTCTGCGTCAGCACTAGGTGTTGGTACTCCACAACCCAGTGACTCATGTATGTTACCGACAACCGAAGAAACGCGTGACATACTGTCAGAGGACTTCCACTTTGTAAATGAAACTGATTTGACCGAAGAGCTGCAAGCCACTGAGCATTATCAGACAGGAAGTCAGACAGAAGCTAGCAATTTAACACCATCAGAGCCGTCTTCTTTACCAAAGAGGCTTGAAGAAAGCCCAGTGTCAGGTGCACACGACCTGGTCGTCGTATGTTCACCGCTGAAAGAAGACATTAGTGAAGTTGACGTAGAACCTGCACCGGAGGCAGATGAAACCACAGCAGCTGACGTGAGCGGTCAGCGTCACATTCAGACACAAGGCCAAGCATCCTGTCCTGTTACTGACACAGGACAAGCTCCAGAAGACGTCCTCAAAGAAAGGTTGATGAATGTGGAAGAGAGTAAAGGACAGTTGTTAGGTTCACTGCTTGAAGAGAAGGATTTGAAGGAAAGAGCAGGAAGTCTTTTGGAAAAATCCCCAGATTGTGGGGATAAGGAAGGAGGGTACAAACTTGACTGTTGTGAAAAGACGGAGGAACGATCTGAGACCTGCCGTCAAACTACCTTTAGTGCGTGTCACTCAGACTGTCAGCCTGAGCTTCATGACAGACATTCACCTCTGCCTGAAACTCCAGGTGAGGGGGAGCGCCGCCCTTCGCCACTTCCTGTCGCACCTTGTGACACAGCTTCTGTGGTTGACCCTGGTCCAGACCTGCCTGTACTGACCGTGCCAACAAGTGTGGACTCAAGCACCTTTGAGACGCCGCTGTCAAAAGTGGACATGGTCCACGGGGAAGCTCATGGTTCAGTGGTTATTGGCGAAGACAACCTAGCGGGTGTTATTTCGGATAAAGACTCTGTGGATACGTTGGATGGTTGGGCAGGAAGGAAAGTGGAGAAGGAGGTGGTCGCAGTGGACGGCGTCTCGGACACAGGTGAATACACAGCCTTGTCTTTCTGTTGGCTTCAGCGTAACAGACTTTGAAAATGTAAAACAGTGACTTAAAGCTTTTCACAGTCTGTTGACTAGTGCAGGGCTCCCCAACCCTCGGTCCGGGGACCGGTGCTGGTCCGTAGGTCATTTGGTACGGGGCTACAGTGACAAGATGTACTTCAGTTGTACTAATTTACTTCATTCAAAACAAATCCAGTCATATCCCTTGGCTCAGAATAAATGAAACTCCAACAATGGTACGGGACCGACCGGACTAGAGGAGGAACCAAAAACATAAAGTTTATTATAGTAACACTGCACTATCCTTTAAAGCCATAACTGCCTAAAACATTTGAGTCATTTTACAATCACGGCCCTTTTTTTTTTTTTTTTTTAATATATCAAACAGAGCTTGATATTTCACGGAGCTCCATTGTGTTCAGGGTTGACAGAGAGGGAAGCGAGTGGCAGAGGAATGGCGTCAGTAACAAAGCGCAGACTGTCCTGGCATGTGTGGGAGGGAGTGACTGAGTGAGACAATTGTTGATTCAGCTTGATCTTTGTGTGGAGCTCTGTATCCAGTCAACTGGATGATATCACTGAGATGTAACACTGGATAGTGAGCCTGAGAGGTGGGCAGAGAAATAGTTGTGGTGCGGACTCGGAGGCCAATGAATAAAACTCCAAACAGAATCATTGGTCTGATGCATGTAAAGCACATCTCCTACGCTTATAATACTGATAATAATTTAATGTACTCCAAATAATGTTTGACAAAAAAAAAAAATCAAATCCAACCCAAAGTCATAATAAAATCATGTCATTGTCCTTCACAGAGACAGAACTGTTTCCAGCAGCACAGGAAGAGTTCCACCAGAGCTGCAGGGACACAGGCAGCCCACACACTCTGCAGGTGGGTGTATCTGCCCCCCCCCGACCCCCGCAGTTGATAGCACCATCGTGCACATGTAACACAGTACATATTTGCCAGTTTGAACTGTTGTGCTCACCAGCTCCATTGGAGATAATCAGATGTATGAAAATCAAACGTGTATAATCAAATGTATGAAAATCAAACGTGCTTTTTTTTTATTGCATTATTTTTTTAAATGCACATGTTAATACATGTTATTAACCATTATTAAGAAGATAATATGATTAACCTTCACCACCGCAGTGTGAAGTCAAAACTACAGCAGTACAATACAACCGTTTCTTGTTATACTTGTGTTCATTCATAACTACAGAAATGCTCATTTTTATTAACCATTATTAAGAGGATAATATTATTAACAGTGTGAAGTCAAAACTACAGCAGTACTGTTTTTAAGTAGCTGTATTTAAAGTGAAAAGTAACGCTGAGATGACTGTGAATGTTTTGAAAACATTAAAAAAATGTTTCTTGTTTTAAAATAAATTCCAGTCCGTCTCTTCCTCCTGTGTCGGACACTCAGACGGTGAGGTCTCCATGGTGGTCTCCACCGGTGCCAGTGAGGAGATTTGGTCTTTGGATGCAGTCACCAACACGGCCACTGATCCTGCGCGACTGTCCTGGCACTCAGAAACTGAGGAACAAGGTAAAGCACTTTGAAAGTCATCGCGCTGCTGCTGTCACAATCGTCTTTCATGATCTGACGGAGTTCATACAGAAACAAAATAAATTTCCCTCCTGGACACTGCCCGAGCCCCTACAAAATATACATAAAATAAATATGTTGTGCAAAATTTAAAAAAACACTAACCTCTCCCACAAAGTCCGAAGAAAGACAGAGAGTTTGGGTGTGACTAATAAAAAAAAAAAAAATACACATCAAGTTTCCGCCCAAGGAGGAACAACCCACATTCATCAGGTAGAAGAAATAAAACAATTTTGTGTCATTATAACTACATACCCCCTGTTACATGTATTTAGCTTAGTCTTTATTTCTACACGTTGATAGATATTGTTCATCAAAAGTGGGCAACCCGTGGTTTCTTTTCTTTACCTTCAATAGAGATGGGAGAATGTGACGGAGAAGAAGAAGAAGGAAGAGACCAGCTGCCGGACAACCCTGTCCACTCTGCCATCTTGAGAGCATCTGCTCAGTCCATGTCTGTGGCTCGTCGTCACAGCTGGCAGGCGAGCCTGAACGCTGCAGCTGATGATGACATCACACAGTGCAGGTAAGCTCTCACTCTCCATCTGCCTGTGTTTGTGTTTTTCTATATATTGTTGTGTATATTTTAGTTTAGTTTTTTCCCCTTTATCCTTTATCCAACATAAGCACTCACCTCAAAACTGCTCGACCGAAGCTGTTCCTCACGGTTCAGCTCATCTTTATTGATGTTCCTTTGTAATTAGAATGTGTTCAATGTTTCTTGGTTAAATGATTCCAGTCTGGCTGTCACTTCTTGTAGCTCTGGCAACGACCTGTCTGAGGAGTTGAAACAAACTCACGCCCCTCTTCCACAACACAGGTACTCGGTCCTCATTTACATCATACATTCAAGTTCATTTCTTCATTCATTTCTCCACATTTGGTCATTCATGGTCATACATTCAAGTTCATTTCTCCACATTTGGTCATTCATGTACTAATGTTATCTCACATTAAAACATGTGTTTGTGGAGATCATAGAACAGATTCACTGATGATGATATTATTATATCATATTGCTGTGTGCTTATCAGTATTTCAGAGGAGGATCCGGGCACTCTGCACAACGACAGTGAGGAGAAAGGTGGACCAAAAATCAGACGGACATTCAGTTACTTCCGTAGTAAAATGAGCAAGAAGGGGAAGGTGAGGCCTGTGGTACACGTGGAGACAGTCGTTGTCCTCAAAAATATTGCAGTCGCTCACAGTCGGCTTTTGAAGATCCAACAAATTGCATGCTGGGTATTTTAGGTGGTATGTTAAACCCAGGGTGCTTTGGTGGAACTAAAATATATTTTCTTGAGGTGTGTGTGAATGACAGACCGTGTATGGACTGTGCATTAGAATTAACCACATATTTGAATCGTATTAATTTAAAAACCATCTCTGTATCTGTTGTGGTTTTTAGGATAAAAAGAAGGAAAGAAGAGGTGAAAAAGAGCAGGAGAGGAAAGAAAAAGATAAAAAGAATCCAGCTGCTCCTTCCTCCGTTCCAGATGCTACGTGTCTGTCCATAACCTGTCAGCACTGCACCAAACCTCTGCACAACAAGGACACGTTCCACTGCAACAGTACGACGCTGCCTTTTTACTATTTTCTTATTTCCTATTTTCCTCATTTTTCTTGCGACTAGTTTTTTATGAAGGACAATATAAAGAAAAAGTGAAACTCTTGACTGTTAGTGGAGTACTAACAACTCTGCCAGGAACAGAAAATAATTTTGGAATAAATGATTTTGTTCTTTTATTGCCTTTCTTTAGATGTTTGCTGCCTGCTGGTGCAGAATATCTTTATTTTAATTGTCATCAATTGTTTTTTGCAGGTTGTGGGCTTAACATCCATAAAAGCTGCAGAGAGAGTTCTTCCCTCTGTCCAAAAAGCAAAGCTAAAGTAAGTTTTTTTCCCTTATTGTACAGTGAGACAAAAGTTCATTTCACTCCAAACCAAACCACACAGTGTATACGTGGTGTTTTGGTTTGGTGTTTGGTCTTTTTATTCATTTTCATTATGATGAAGTTGGTAATCCAACAAAAAATCAGAAAAGAAAAGAGCAAGAAAAAGTCGTTCTTAATGGTCCGGCCTTAGTGTCAGTACGACCAAAAAGAATTCACCTGAAGCAGTCATGATATTTTCAGCCTGGGCCTATTTAGTTGAACACAACATTTGAATTGAATTGAAGAAAGACACACACAAAGATCTGCTTCAACAGCTTTAGATTTTTAGTCAGCAGCTACCACCGACTGCAAGAGTATTTCATTTTCTGTATTTAATTTTGCATAGATGCACATGGTCAAATTATTAGGTATAAATAAACAACGATTTCTTAGACCAGACTACAATGATGATTTTTTTTTTTGTCTTTGTCTTTAGGTGCCGTCACAAGTGCCTGATGTTGCTGCGGCCTCCTCCGTCAGCACGAGGAGTAAATGTAAGACGCCTCGAGGAAACGCACACAACGCTGGAGCTGTGTTGCTTTGTCATTTATTTAGTCAGTTTTGTGTGAAAACGTCAAAGAAACGTGCTGCAGAATGACCTTAAAACTCCATTTCCAGCATTTCGCTCCACAGTAATGAATGTTCGATGTTTTCTTCATATTTAGCTACGTCTTCAGTAGCATCTCCATCAGCCTCCTCCACCTCCTCCTCCTCCTCCTCGTGGGATCACTGGAGCACAGTGACCAGCTGTGACGATCAGACTCCTGTGATGTTGCTACGACGACAACCCAGCTTCTTCAACACACACAGTAACCTGTCCAAGAGCATCTCCACCAGCAACATTGCAGGGTTGGGAACCACACGCACACACACACACACACACACCAAACAGAGTGCTATAAGGGATCTAGTATAAATGTAAATATATATAATAATATAAATGTATAAACATTTTTGACAAAAGAACATTCAAATTATATTATATCTCATCTGATCCTTTGACTGAATGAACACATTTTTATGGCTGACGAAAAGCTGCTTCATCTATGATATTTGTACTTGTTTCGTCTGTTGAAGATCTTTCTGTTATTATGATTGCATGGTAAAACATTTTTTATATATTTATATTTTTTATTATTTTTCTCTTTGTAGATTAGATGATGTTACAATTATAGGTCTGAAGTTTCTCTCCCAGTCCACCGACTCTCTTCATCGAGGGAATAAAGTCAACGCCTCAGTCGAGTCTCTGCCCGATGAAGGTCTGTGATTACTTACGTATCTAATAGTGACATTCAAAGATCCATGTTTTTGAAATATATTTTAAAGCTGAGTAATTGAGATATTTTCCTGTTTCTGCCGTTGCTCTTCATCTGTGTGTGTGTGTGTGTTTAGATAGTGAAATCTCAGACAACCAACTGATGGAGGAGTTTGAGTGTGACTTTAAGGATTTGGAAGCCGAATCTTGGAGCAGCACAGTGGATAAGAAGTTTTTGAAAACACTGAAGAAAGATGACATCAAACGACAGGATGTCATTTATGGTAAAAATACGCTGAAAGTCATTTCTGTCACAGAGCGACTCGCCACGATCATGTTGGTGACGCCAGGAGTGTTCTCTTTTCACAGAGCTTTACCAGACGGAGTTCCACCATGTGAGGACGCTGAAAATCATGTCTGAGGTTTACTATAACGGCCTGCTGAGGGAGGTACAGCTGGAGACTGACACGCTAGAAAAGGTGAGGATATCAAAAAAAAAGTCAAACATGTGCAGTGATTTTTGAATAATCAAAACAAGGGCACTGTTTTTTTGGAAAGTTTTTCTTTCTATGCAAAAGGCACTGTTTTGATTATTTCAGATTTTTTTTTTTGGAAAGTTTTTCTTTCTATGCAGATGATATCATCTTCTTCATGGTTTCTATATTGTTGTCATATTTAGATTTTTTTATTCTCCTTCAAATACATTTCTGTAGATTTTTCCTGTCTTGGACGACTTGCTGTCCATACACACAGAGTTTCTCATCCATCTCCTGGAGGCGAAAAGAGCTTCATCAGGTCAAGGGCAAAACAACAACATTTATTTAATCCGCAGCATCGGGGACATCCTGGTTAAGCAGGTAATCACCTTTAGACCTACTCCAGACGAAGATGATAAAACAAAATTATAAGAAAAAGTTTTCTGAGAGTTAGTACATACAGTAGTTAGAGTTTGAAAATAAACATAAATTTAATAATTAATGATGCGTCCTTTTAATTAAATTTTGCTTTCCCCAGTTTTCAGACTGCAGCGCTGAGCGCATGAAGAAATCCTACGGAAAGTTCTGCAGCCGTCATCACGACGCAGTTAATCTTTACAAAGACTTCCATGCTAAAGATAAGCGCTTCCAGGCTTTCATAAAGGTTAGCTGTAGCTTTTCTTACTGAATGTCATCACTTTAGAGGGGTTTTCAGTGGCTTGCTGACTCCGTGTGTCTGTCTTTAGAAAACAATGAGCAGCAGCATCGTGCGGAGGCTCAGTATTCCAGAGTGTATATTGTTGGTCACGCAGAGAATCACCAAATATCCCGTGCTCATACAGAGGATACTTCAGCACACCAAAGGTAAGGTCCAGAAGTCCCTGCAGCCTTCGCTGACTAACATCCACCAACTCTGGGGCAACATTTGGAGTCACATTTTTGCATATTTTTCTTGCTATTTTTCCATAGTAAGATACATTAAAATACATCATTTTAGAGTAAAAATAAAAACATCTACCTGCCACTGATAACCACGTAAGCATGATTAATTGTGATTAATCTACAGCTACGGTGTGATTAATCAAAATCAAATTTTTAATTGTTCGACAGCCCTAATTTTTCAGTTGCAAATCTCATAGAGGTCCAGGTTTATTTCTCACTTTCACTGCACACAATTTTTAAAAAACTGATTACGATTAATAAAAGCTGAAATAGACAGAATAAAAAAAAAACTGAGTTTATTTTTGACGAATAATAAAAGCTGAAATAGACAGAAGTACTAAACCCAAGACAATGGCTTTGGAATGAAAGAACGCTAATGCTGGGTGTACTAAACCCAAGACCCAATGGCTTTGGAATGAAAGAACGCTAACCTACACCCCCGCTGTGGAACATCATGTGTTCAACCAGACTCGGACACAGATTTCAAAGGTGTCTGTGAGTCACTGCGCTGCGTCAAGGAGCTGATTACAGCCGTGGACAGTAAGGTCAACGATCAGGAGAAGAAACGCAGACTGAGGGAGATCTACACGTAAGGCATATTTTGGATCCTTCTCTTTACTGTTTCACGATTGCTAACAGGGCAGCGTTTGTTTTTAAACAAACTATCAAAATATGTCTTTCAGTCGCACTGACAGCAAGTCCATCATGAGAATGAAGAGTGGCCAGATGTTTGCCAAAGAGGACCTGCTCAGGGGGAGGAAGCTGCTGCACGACGGAGCGGTGCAGCTGAAAAACTCTGCCGGACGACTCAAAGGTTTGCTTGTTTTTGTTGTCGTTGTTTTTTGCTACGCACAGACATGAGGAAGGTTGATGACGTCTTTGTCTCCGTGCTGCAGATGTCCATGCCATGCTCCTCTCCGATGTGTTGGTCTTTCTTCAAGAAAAGGATCAGAAATATGTGTTTGCGTCTTTGGTCAGCACCATATATTTCAATACTCTTATCATCCTACACTGCAAAATGACATGAACAGCACATTTAAACTTCATCCTTTCCTTTTCCAGGACCAGCGCTCCACCGTCATCTCTCTACAGAACCTGATCGTTAGAGAGGTGGCTAATGAAGAACGAGGTCAGCTGTTGGTCTTTGTTTCCCCACAGTAGTTCGTCAATTTTTATCATTGCTCATATATACACACATATATATGTATATATTTTTTATCATTGCTCATATATACGCACATATATATGTATATATAAATATATATGTCTGTATATGTATATATGTATATGCACATATGTATGTATGTATGTATATATATATATACATATATGCAAACATACATACATACAAATGTCTATGTATATGTATGTATATATATATTTATATATACATATATGTATATATGTATGTTTATACATACATATATGTGTATATATATGTGTATATAGATGAGAAGTGAGTCCCGTGGCTTTATTACAGTGTAAAATGTAACCCAAAACGTTACATTTTATCATTTCTACCACTGCAGTGTTTCTTTTATTTTTATTTTTTCTTCTTCTTCAGGTCTCTTTGTCATCACAGCTGGTACAGACAAACCAGAGATGGTGGAGGTGTTGGCCAGCAGCAAAGAAGAACGCAACGTATGGATGGCCATCTTACAGGATGCCATGCACTGCATGTAAGGAGACCCTTTAACGTACACTTTACTCCAGTTTTATTTATTATTATATTATTTATTTATATTATAAAGTTGTTAAAAAAGTGGAAAGAAATATATCAAAGAGGTGATTGGGTTATTCTCCACTCTGTTAGAGTGGAGAATAAAGCCGTAAATAAACAGAGAAATAAATTACCTAGATTTCTAGTTCAAGATGATTTCAAGTAACTCTGTGTGCTTAGGGACAAAGACGAAGATGACGGACCCCCCAGTGAGACAGAGGAGGACAGGAGGCAGCAAGAGAGCAGAGCAAAGGAGATCCGAGGTGATCACTGCAGAAAAAAAAAATTGCATTCAGTTCTGCTGTGTTGCACTGGTCTCACTCATTCAACGCGTCTCATTCCAGAGCTCCTGAGAAAAAAGGACGAACAGATCATCTCATTACTGGAGGAGAAGGTGGTGATTTTCAGAGAGCTTGCCAGCTGCAGTGTGGCTGCAGAGGATCCGAGCACGTCTGTTCGGGAGCGCATGTTATTCAGGGCCACAGCTGAGAATGTCACAAAGGGGGAACCAATCATAAAGGATGCCCTGAAGGAATGTAAGCAACACTGATACTACAGTGTGTGCAGTTCTTTTTTTTTCCCCTTGTGTTAATGCCAGCGATGTAAAGTCAACACATTTTCCTTTTTGCCTTTTCGTTCTCCAGTGGAGCGCCTTCATGCTTTAGTTGGCACTGGTGCTGAAGTGGACTGCAGTAATCCATTTGGTCTGACAGGGGGCGACATGGGACCAGTGTGTCTGCCCAGGAGAGCCGAGACATTCGGAGGCTTCGACAGTCATCAGATGAGCGGCAGCAAGAGTGAGAAACTCACATGTAGAAGAGTGTGTTTTGATTGGCAGTTACACTGATGTTTCTGCCGCAGGTTAGAGAAGTACACCTCAGTGTATTAACAATTACCTTGGAGTGCTTTTAGCGGCACCAGAGCAGCTGTATGTTGTCCCTGCCTGGATGACTTGATGGATAGTTCAGGATCCAAACTGTGGCCCAGGTTCCAGTCAACAGAACTCAGTCTGGATATTTCCTCTGTGTCTGTAGATGGAGAGAAAGAAGACGGGGAGGAGCAGTTGGACCTCCGCAGGACTGAGTCAGACAGTGTGCTGAAGAAGGTTTGTGTGTTCGTCTAATTCAAACCTTCAAACATGTGACATGAAATCTAAAAAAAAACCCAAATCACATTTCCTGAGTTTTGCTCTCATTTTTGCATACTTTTCTCTCTGTGCCCTAGGGAGCTACTGCAAATCTACAGGTGTTGCTGAAGAGGACGAATGGGGTAAAAAAAAAAAAATCTTATTTAATTTTATTGTCATCATCCAAAAACACAAACTGCCTTTATGTCACTTTATACTGACAAAGTGTCAAAAATGACAAGGACCACCTTTTTGATTCTATTGGTTTTGAATATTCATTAATAATATCATGTTAAATTAATATTAACACTATTTAATAATAATAATAATATTAACATATTATTGATTAATTTAAAATTTATAATAAATTATATATATATTATATATATAAACAATTATTTGTAACAGTAGTCTCTGCTGTGACTCTTTAGCGCCCCCTGCTGATCTAGACTATCTCACATCAAGTTCAAAATCTTCAACTAACCTTGACCTCGAGGGTCACAACCACACCATTGGCATTCACTTCTTTACGTTTCTTTTTTTTTACAGCAGGTCCAACACAGTGTGACTCATCTGTACCAGCTGCTCATCTCACTGCAGGTGAGAAAAAATACCCACAGCTACTTGATTTTACTTCCACATATTTTGTTTCTTTATCGTTACCACTCGTTTCCTCTCACCTTCAGGCTGTTGTGGTCCAGCAGGACGTGTGTGTAGAAAACCAGCGGCAGGCGCTGGACGACTGGCAAGCCACCATTTCTTCCACCGTCTCATCCACATCCTCGCTCCTCTCCTCGTCTTCCTCCCGTTCATCCACACTCACTGAGCAAGGGAAACACAAGAGCTTGGAGATGCAGCGGCAGGAAGCTGCCAGCCTGCAGGTTCATTCAGTCTAACATCTCTGTCACTGCCAAAGACACTTCGTATCGTGAGCTGCGTGAGTAACGTGTTCCTTTATTACAGAAACAACAGGCCTCGTATCAGGACGAAAAGAAGAAGAAAGAAAAGGAATGGGAGTTGAAGGAAAAATGTCTGACGGAGCGGGCGAAGAGGCTGAAGGAGGAGGAGGAGGAGACTAGGAGGAAGCACCTGGAGCTGCAAGAGGACAGAGAGACACTGCGGAGGAGGAAAGAGGAGTACGAGAGAGAACTGGCGTGGCTGAAGGAGGCCCAGAAAAAGTTGGAGAGAGACGAGGAGGCCCTGAGGCGGGACGCAGAGAGACTGGAAACCATGAAAAGAGACAAGGTGGAGTATCTTATCTGGTCTGTTTGACCTCTGTCATGGTTGCGTGCAGAGAGTTTCTAAATTTCAAATCTTTGGTGACGCTGTTGTTCTTCAACAATCCATTTGACAGTTGTGTCAGTTGTAGACCTGACTAAGCCTGGACTGACACAGACCTGAAGTCTGGTTCCATAGTGTAGCGGTTGTCATGTCTGCTTTACATTCAGAAGGGTCTGGGTTGTATCCACAGCATAACTAAGTACATAATCCTCATGTAAGGCTCTTATATAGATAAAATCATCTAAAATAACTAAAGGCATGAATAAAATCATCTAAAATAACTAAAGGCAGTGAATGTAAATTGAGGCCTTTAGAAATGCATGCTGGGAGTTGAGATTGTATTTGAAGCTTACTGTATCTTTGGTGAAAAAAAACAAACACTTTTTTCCCACAGTGTGTGCAAAAATCAACATGAGAGAAGTCAAAGTGGATGGAGGAATTGTGGGAAAATACAACGTTCATCTTTGTGGCCTTGTGTGAAAATTAGTTAAAAATTAGTTTTTAGTTTTTTTACTGATGAATTTGATGTTTACTCATTAGTTTCGTCAGCCCAAGTTACAACATTTCTGCTCCATCTTGAGTTAATGACAACCAAATGATCTTTGCAGATGGAGAGGTGTCCCAGGTTCCAAAGAACTTCCTCCATCAATTCCGAGGACTCTGTTAGGTACCACAGCTCTGGGTCTCTGGACCTGGATCTGAAGGACACCGCCGATGTGCCGAAGGAGGTAAAAAATACTTTTACTTTGAAAAATATTCAAAGTTACTGTTCAACATCTCCAATAGAACGATGACGATGATGTCATACACAGGTGGAGCTGTCGTCCTCCGCTCCGACCAAAGAGCCGTTCCTTCGCATTGGATCAAAAAGGATGGGCAAAAACCTCAACCCATTCTCTTCCTCCTCATCTAAGACACAGGGAGCAGAGAAGTCCCGGGATTCCCAGCTGTCTACCAAACTGCTGCAACTGACCAAGTCCAAAGAAAAGAAGGACAAGAAGAAGAAAGGTAAGACAGAGGAGGAGACACAGACAGGTCGGACGGAAGACATCACAGTCCTGCCAGGGCTGGTATTTGAACATGGAGACGTTTGGGCCACAGGGTGTCCTGAATCTTAAAATGCAGGGACAACCATACAATATATTGTGATATACTACGATACTATAGGCACAATTATATATATATATATATATATATTTAAAAAAAAAACAACAATTTATTTGTATGAAAACTGTCGGTAAACGCTCAATGAAGACAGCAGAGTGGCGCAGCGGAAGCGTGCTGGGCCCATAACCCAGAGGTCGATGGATCGAAACCATCCTCTGCTAACTGTTTTGTCGCTGCCATAGTGTAGCGGTTAGCACGCCTGCCTCGAGTCCATGGGTTTGATTCCCATTTCCTAAATATGCGATCAAATAGTTCAAATATAATATATATATATAATAAATATAAATATACATGCTTAACATCAGGTTTCTAAAATTAGAAAAGGATCTACGTTTGTAATCGCTAGAAGAGAAGTAAAAGTATGCTGTAGAATATTGATATGGTATCTTCAAACAAAATAGAGTGAGACACACAGAGAGACATGGATCAGAGACTGAATTCTCAGCACAACCGTCCTATCACAAAGAGTGATAGGACAGAATATACGGCTGCAGGAGATCAGATTATTTCATTAAAGTGAGGATTTTGTCTATGATGCCAGGCTTGACTGTAAGCCAAGATGAGAGTGGTGGTGTGCTGCCAGTCCTTATCCACACCCCAAGGACTGGGGGGTAAATGGAGTTATTGGCTAGATGGGTAATAGAATACAATAAATCCAAGCCCCGTATAGGAAACTAAATGAATTTGCTTTTATTCCTTCTCAGAGAACAAAGCCACAGTCATGTCTGATCCTCAGAATGATGAAGACATCTTCTTCTGCTGATCACCTGGGCAGCACGTAATGTATGACCTTTAACCTCCTTGGGAAGACAGACTAGCACTAGTGCAGAAAGTGAGAACTGGCCCCTCATACCAGACAGACTGGAATGTGTCTGCAGTGTCACCGACGAGAAGCCAGTTGGATTCCCAGGATATCAGTGTCACCAAAGACTTCTCTTCTCTGAGGCATCATGTACAATCCATCAATTCATTCTTTTTAATATTTAGCCCCGAGTCACCGTGTTCATTACTCTGTGGCACTTTACGCTGCATGGGTTTGACAGAGAACAACTCTGGACACTTAGTGACACCGAGCAAAAAAGAGAAAAAGAGTGAATCTGTGAAAACACGGCAAAATGAATGGTCTGTAAATCTGGGAAACATTCGTGAGCAGATACTCAGAGCTGAGTGCGATCAGTATACACGTTATAAATATATGTGAACTTTATACCATGTGTGAATATGAGTGTGTGTGTGAGAGAGTTTCTGAATAGAAAGGGAGATAGTCAGGGAGTTCCTTAATGCTCGCTAATGCTGTTTGTTCCGTGTGGTAAGCAGTTTTTGGTTCTGCAGAACAGGAGACGTTCACACAGTCATTATATTCCTTTCAAGGCCATCTTTTTTTTTTTTTTTTTTTTTTAATCGCTCTCTGGATCCAGAGAACAGCAGCATCAGCACAGATGCCTTCTCCAGCCATTTTCAACTGCCTGCGGTGATGGAGGGAGTTCTGTCCTCCCCTCGTGGGGTGAGGTCTGTCAGTGGGGTGAATTTTTGCACCTGGGTGTGAAAGGTCGAGGTTCTTGGGAGACAAAGGTCACAAGAATGTGCCATTGACACATGCTCCAGTAGAAAAGGAGAGTGATCTCCTTGTCATTGTGACACAGCACACCACTGCACACAACCAAATGTGACCTCTGCTCTTACCCACCACCAAAGTCAGCAGGGGGCAGCATAAGCACCCGGGGAGTCTGCTTCCTTAATCACCAAGCCACCACCGCCCCACAGAAGAAGAAGGTGGAGTTTTTCAGCTGGTGCTTCTCCACGTACTGTGTTTCTAACTGGACATACAGCAGCTACCTTTGTGGCACGTTGAGGTTACAGCATTAGACCAGAAAAAAGTACCACGTGCTACAAAGGTCCCAGGTGACACAGTACGTGCCGTACTCGGAGTTAACCTCTGCCGATGTCAACTGCTGTTTATCGTGTTATTGTTAGAAAAGCTGTTTGGTTTTTTTGTTGCCTTTGCACAGTGTTAATGTCACTGTAGGCTGTTGACGATACTGTATATTTTCACATTGTGCCCAACATAACAACAGAAAATATATCAGTTGTTAAAAGTAGATTTTCCACAGTAAAAAAAACCCTAGGTCTTTGGAGATGATAGAGTTTGGATGAGGGAGATGGAAACAGTGGAACACTTAATTAATTAATTAATTGAGCTGGAGAGAAGAGGAACGATGACAGGAACTATAGATGGAAAGATGAGCAGGAAATAGAGGGTGGAGGTGGAGGATCCGTTGGATTCTTTACAGAGATATGACTAAATAAAAGGCTTTCGCTGCAAGTGAGACGATGAAGATGGAATGACCAGAAGGTGTCGGTAATGCAACAATAAGTGCCAACTGTTCCAGGAGGACCCAGAAAGGAAGAAGCCAGGAACAAAGCTGGATGATTGTCAAGGAGCTGGCTGTCAACGCTGCCTCTGTGAGCAGCCGATGTTCCTTTAAAGTCTGCACGAATCCACGGTGCGGTGTTAGAGACCCGTGCCCGTGGAGCAGATACGTGGTCTCATGATGTGTGTTTTAGGCAAACGGCGAGCATTGTCTTTTTAAAAAAAAAAAGAAAAGGTTTTTAAACAGAGTTGTACTGATGTTCACTAAATAATGTGCTGAAATAACATAATATGAGGAGAAAGCCTCACTTTTAAAGAAATTACCACAAAAAAAATGCAAATTCGTCTAAACCTCCAAGAGACTGAGTCACTTGTGATATCGATACCCTCTTCTTCTGAATAATTCCCCTCGCATCCATGCCCAGAAATAATTCATAGCTTTGGATTTACACCACATTGATTTTCTCCTCCTGTTCTCTGCACAAAAAAGGAAAAAAAGAAAGAAAGAAAAGACATACACGCTGTATCTGAGGAACAATACTCCAACCCACTGTGTCATTTCCTGCATTGATCTGCTGATTGGAGCACATCTGTGTTGAAAGTGAAAGCACAGCAGTCTTGTTAATCCACACCAGGGTTCTGTTCCTCACTGCCTTCCACCGTTGAAAAGGCCACAAACTGGGACTGATGGAGAATATCTCTCTGCAGGTCCACATGCCCACGTATGAACAGCTAGAGTGCAACAGGATTTGAAGGTCCCAAAAATCTCATTTTCTCCAAGCCTGTTATATCTTTTGCCAGCTCACTGAGTCCATACAAAGCACAAAAAAGTTTTGTCAAATTATAATGTCCTCACGGAGTCACTGAGCACAGAGTAGAAGGCCACAAACCCCATTTCCAGGGAAGCTGGTACGCTAAAACAAAAAAAGCATAACCGTGTAAAACTGTACTTTGTTAATGCACCTGAACCTTCTTTTATCAGGTAGTGGTACAAACATATATTTAGTATTTATAATCTTGAAACCCAAACTGTTGCTAAGCAACCTGCGAATTAAGAACCCCTCAGATATGTCACTTATGAAGTCATATTTTGCCGTGTGTTGCAGGAACTGATTTAATTCCTAATTCTCTGACTTTTTGTTTGTCAAATTAAGACTTCATTGAATTGGCACGCTAAAGATTTGTACTTTTATTTGAACTGGGACGATCTTGTCTGGAAAAATATTTTTAAAAATTAACCACACAACTCAGTCATCAGAAGTGACAGATTAAAGGTGGTATGTAAATGTAACTATGTGGACGCCTTAAGTATTTAAAGTGAGTCGTTGGATTCTTGGTTTCAAAATGACTGGAATTACATGTAGGTAGGTGATAAAAGTCCGTGTATTAACGTCAGCAGTTTACAAACTAGGGGTCAGAGTCCTCCACATGACCTCAGCTTTCAAAGTGCATTAAGAAACATCTCTGCCAGGGGTTCATTTTCTTGTTTTTCAAATCAGGAAAATACATGATTGTTACGGGACTTAACTGCTCCCCTGAAGCAAAGTCAAGGGGGGAAACAAGCTTTAAAAACTATTTTAGAAAAAATACAAAAGCATTAATTGATGTTTGATGAGTTGTTTGTGTAAAAGTGGTATACAAAAATATATATTTTGAGTTTTGCTACCATGTGCTTGAATATGCGTCTCTCCTGTGTATATTTTGTCATCAGTGTGCACTTTTTATTAAACAAAGCTTTACAACGTTCATGTGGGATTTTAGAGTGCCACACTTGCCCTTGGGTTGTTTGCACTGTGTGCCAAAGCATTTTTTTAAATGTTTTTTGAACAAATAAATAAATGAATAAAAAAGCATAAAAAACAGAAGGTACAAATATTTTATCATGTGATGTTAGAAAAAGGGTTAAGCACCACGTGTACATATTTTTATGTAAAAATTTGGCTTTTTAAAGTTTTGATAACTTGATTTTATTAAGTTGGACAAGTGAGGGTTGTTTTTTCTTTTTTTTTCTTTTTTAAAGATAATCTTGTATTTATCTCTCCCTTGTTGGGAATGTACAGTAATTATCTCTCTTCAATAAATAAGTATGCACTTTCTCATTGCTTGTTGTTTGGTTGTGGTCATTTCTAACATATTAAAAAAAACGTAAAGGAGTATATGTGGCAAAATGAGTTACATTTTATTGCAACATTTCTGTAAAGTAAGGCTGTTGGAAAAATTGATTCAAAGAACTTTTATTTTGAAGGACCAACCATTTTTTTTGTTTATATTTTTTTTATAAATATGACACTGAGAGCAGTATGTTGTTTTCTTTTACACTCGGGGCACAAGAGAACCAAAGCCCCCAGTGTGTTATGTGCAATGGACCCGGTCTTGTAAAAAGCATGAAGCTATCAAAAATTAAACATCCTGCTAAGGCTAGGGAAAGCACTCAGAGAGAGCAAACCGTTTGCAGTGATGCTCTGTGTCCCATAGTAACAGCACTCAAGAGTTTAGAATGGCTTTCTCCCTTCAACCAACATCCCCTCAAAATCAATCAAAACCGCCCATTAACTTTTTTTAAATGTGCTACTTACTAGGAAATGGGTCTAAAAATGTAAACTCCTCTGCTAAAACAAACAAACAAACAAACAGATGCCTTTAAAACTAACAAGCAGATCTTTTATTTGATAATGTCTCAATTTGCAATTACTCTGATGGAAACAGTAAGATGCTAAGCTAAGCTATGCCCAGCTAAAGAGGCGATAAGTAGAGAGCGTTAATTCCAGTTAACCTGTTTACCTATTTATCGGCTATAGCCACACTGTTGATTTGAATAGCACAACAAGCACTGATTTTTTTTTACTTGCATGATATTCAATATATACTTGCAAATATAAATTTAGTATTTCGAATATTTAAGCAGTTCATTATAACTCACTCTTGTCAAAAAAAACAGTGCCTTGAGGAAGGTGTGCTAGGAACAATGAAATTTTCACTGTCAATCATGAACGTGCTATTGTTTTGCTGCCGCCATTATAATGCCGAATCCATGCTCAAGCTTATTGGTTGACAAGAGTGGCGAATATCCCGTCGACACGTTTTCACTGGTCAGTGAAAATCAGATATGAGATGGTTGGCTAAGTCAGGTGTCAATCACAAAAGTTATAAGCAATTAGGTCCCGCCTGTCATTGTTTCTATTGGCTGACGGATCATCGGCGTATCACCAATGCTGCTGTGGATTGGTTCCATGAACATCAGTCACAAAATAATCAAACGCCTTTGCTGCTGCCGTGTGCAGGAATGAGTTACAAGTAGCTCTGTGACGGTTAGGTGGATCCTCAGCGGTAACATACTGCAGAAAAATATGGTTTATTTAACGCCAGTAATCGGGACTGTGCGCTCTAACTTTTCATCCGACCTCATGAGCGCTTCTCAATGTGAGTCCACCATGTTTTCTGGCTCTTTATTTTTCATTGTATAACTATGCTCGGGCAACAATAAAACCCACACAGTAAACAAGTCTCTCTTTTTTTTGTTGAAGTAGCAGTTATGGAACTGTGCTGATTATCAGGGAAGCGGTGTTGAGCCTAGTGTTGTATTCGTTCAAATGAGTGTATAAATGGCGGATAAAAGTGGCTACAATGCGTGGGCTTTTGAAGGCTACAGGGACTCCCCCCCTTTTTTTTAATCGTTCCAAAAACAACGAAGTTGGTTTACAGCAGAGCTAGCTCAGACTCGCCAGTGTTGATTATTTAGGTATTGTTTGAAGAGTGCAGACAATAGTGATGGAATATAGTAATTTATCGACCAACTGGTGTTAGAAATTAAAACGCCGGTATTACTGGATAAGATCAACTGTCGCAAAATATGCTTTGGATAGTCTTTATGCTGAAACTGTCTACATTTGACGTTATATCGGAAACCAGTATTTGTACTGCACCTACACAGTGTCTGCAGTAATGAGATGTTCTTTGTAAACAAAAACACGTTTGTGGGAGGTGGTATGTCAAAGAAAATGACGAGGGAATGTGGTTACCTCAGTAAATAACACCTGATGCGGTGAACGGGGACATAAAAAAGACATTTCTTGGGGTTACTTAACAATGCGGTCGGGCTTCCCGGCATGTAATTCTAGTAACGCTAGAGGGCGCGACTACTGTTCCCATGGAAAAATGAAGCCATCTCACTGCAAAGTAAAGGCTTAAAAGACAGGGATAACTATGGTATGTTACTTGCTTTGTTTACAGACACACTTCTTGTGGTTTTATGCTGGATAAAAAGCCAGGAGTTTGAATTCCTGAAAAAAAAAAACTCTATTTACTAAAGGTGGAGACACGCTACACTTTATACAATCTGTACAGATGTTTAAACAGATTTTTTTATGACGACAACTACGCCTGATGAGGGATCAGCAACTTAACGATTGGTCAGACCAACTTAATCCAACACACTAAACACTCAGAGTTCTGATCTATGATCCAGGTTGTTGGAACTCTGCCTTCCTTCGTCACTTTCACCACTGTTGTTTTGATATTTTGGCTGTTCACCCTCACATTTCTGCAGATATGTGTCTCATACATTCAGATAAAAGAATATTACTCATTTGAAATGCTGTTGTGTCTGATACATTCACAAAAAAAGAATATTACTCATTTGAAATGCTGACTATCCTGAATAAGTGCATAATAGTACAGACGTTGCCCAACAAGTTATAGATGAAACTAGGCAGAAATAATCTGCCCCTCCCAAACTTAAGACAAGGCGAAACATCAGTGTGTCTACATTAGACATTAGTAGAATTGCAATAATGTGGCTAATTTGTAGCCAAATGACTGGAAACTCAGATGGGCTGCTTTGATTGCTATTAACTGGAAAAAAAAAACATTTATTTATGATGTAAGTAATATAATACACTAATGCAACGTGACGTGTTTCTTTTTTGTGTTCAATTCCACAGTAACAGTTATTCCTTGAAGTGATTCCCTGTAAAACTGCCATGTCCGTGACAGTTCATGAGAATCGTAAATCCCGCACCAGCACGGGCTCCATGAACATCTCCCTGTTTCACAAGCCGTCCCATCCTGACAGTGTCCTGACTCACCTTAACACCATGAGGAAACAGTGCGTTTTCACAGATGTTACGTTGTGGGCCGGCGACCGCTCCTTTCCATGCCACAGGTCGAGTCACGTGGTTGAATAATCACTAATAAAATCCACTGGACGCTAATAATGGATTCCATTAATGTATTCATTTGTTTTTGTTTTTTTGTGTTTTGCAGGGCAGTCCTGGCACTTTTGTTTTTGTTTTTGTGTTTTGCAGGGCAGTCCTGGCAGCATGTAGCCGTTATTTTGAGGCCATGTTCAGTGGAGGGCTACGGGAAAGTCTGGACAATGACGTCAATTTCAGAGACAGCATACACCCAGAGGTATCGATGGAACATTTAATCTTTTTCTTTATAGATAAAGTTCAGCTAATGGGTGACTCAGTATAGTGGGCGGGATCAAAGTTATACTAAGATAGAGAAAGATCATTTTCTGTTTCTGTTTTCCTACAAAAAACAAAGACAGAACCTGATGAGGTCGTGAGAGGTTTTACCCTTACAACAATCTTTGTGTGACAGAATAACATGTGTGACAAAAAAAGTACAATATATCAGTTCATCAGTGTTCTGTCAGTAGTCAAAGGAGTCGTCTGCTCTTCTCCAGGTCCTGGAGCTGCTGTTGGACTTTGCCTACTCTTCTCGAGTCATCATAAATGAGGAAAACGCAGAGTCCTTGTTAGAGGCCGCCGACATGCTGCAGTTTCACGACATCCGTGACGCAGCTGCAGAGTTTCTAGAAAAAAACCTGCATTCGTCCAACTGCCTGGGGATGATGCTGCTGTCAGACGCCCATCAGTGTAAAAGACTGTACGAGCTGTCATGGCGGATGTGCCTGCTACACTATGAGACGGTAAAGATGGTCTGCACTCTACTCTATGGAGGGGGTCAGGGGTCAGGGGGGAGGTCCACTCCCACAGATGTCATGTCACATATACAGTACATCATGCTTAAGTACTTCACTGTTACTACAGAGCCAACACTCAACTCCCCAAGTGTTATTACAGAGCAGTGAAGGAGCCACAGTCATTTGTTCATGTAATCCATTCTTGCATCTATTTGAGAACATTTCCTTCTTAAACCCTTTCTCTTAAAATAACTGAAGGTATTATATTCAAAAATGTTTGTCTTTTTAAATATCAAATCAATGATGTAGTGGCCTTTTTCAAAACAAAAATAAAAGGCCAAATAAAAAAAACAGCGTAAAATAAGAGGATATTTAATATATTGCAATACATTACAACAAAATGTAATTAAAATATGAACATGTAAAAAAGAGTGAATACCGGTCATAAATGAAATACTAAAAAAAATAGGACCAAGGTTTTCTGATTGATTTGAAGCCAAAACCATAATTTGATTATTTGCACAGCCGTACCTCACTGGTGACATGGAAATGCTAAATAAAAGAATATATAACCTAAGTTTGTAAGATTGTCTTTCAAGTATACAGAAAACATTTTTTTATGTCCCTCATAGAGCTCGGTGACAGGGCCAGTTTTATTGGCAGAACAAAAACAACTAATATAACTTGTTGACTTCAGGTGAGAGAATCCGAGGATTTCTACAGTCTCTCGAAAGATAAACTCCTGGAGCTGATTCTTAGTGATGAGCTGGAGATAGAGGACGAACAGGTCAGAGTTCTTCCCCTCAGTTTTCTCTTCCTCATCACATCTGTGTTGATTAAAAATATAAATAAAAATGGCCCTGTTTGTGTATTCTGCCGCAGATTGTGTTTAACTCCGTCATGCGGTGGGTTCAGTTCGACTTGGAGGGTCGGCGTCATCATCTGTCAGAGTTACTGAGGGGCATCAGGCTGGCACTGCTGCCATCAGAATGTCTGCTGGAGGTGGTCGCCTGTGAAGAGTTGGTTATGGCCGACAAGAGGAGCAGGTTCGTCATTTATCAACGCGCACATTTCTGTCTGTTTTCTTGAAAAGACAGGGCAGGCAGACACTGCATGATGTTTCTCCAAACATCAGAAACAGAAAGGCTCTAGTAGGAGTTTTTGTTCCTCAACTTCATGTAATAATTCCCAAAAACATAGCTTACTGTTTTTTTTTCTTAGATTTTTCTTGACTATCTCTTTTTACTGAAAAGAGATTTTGGTCTTCATGTAACAGCTTCCAAACTAAAGTGGAAGCAAATAATGTTTTAAATAGGGATGTCCGATATTAACTTTTTGCCGATATCTGATATGCTAATATTTCCAAACACTAAATTTCCGAGTCCGATATCAACCAATATAAGCCTGGTAATATTTATTTATTTATCTGTACAAACCACTGTTTGAGTTTCTGCATACAATCCCCTGCTTTTTAAAATTAATTACATGAGCTACAATGCTGCCATCTAGTGACATTCACCTTACTATACAGCCGTTTATTCCAAAAACTTTTTAGGGCACACATTATTTGGTGAAACCCAGGCATTGTGTTATCGGATCTTTATCGGAGGAAAAACCGATAACATTCCTTACAGATATTACATAATTATTCTAATTTTGTGCCAATATGATCTGACATCCTTTGTTTTAGAGTAACCATTTAAACAAAGACTAACAAACTGTTGTCTAACCCTGCAGGTCCATTGTAGAAGAGGCAATGCAGTGTAAGAAAAAAATCCTTCAAAATGACGGAGTGGTGACCAGTCTGTTTGCTCGACCTCGTAAAGCTGGACATACGCTGCTCATACTCGGAGGCCAGACCTTCATGTGTGACAAGATTTACCAGGTAGGCCACAGCTGTGATTGTCATCTACACTATATACACTAGAGGTCAGGGCACTTCATGTTTATTTAGTGTTTCTGTTAGAATCTTTGGTTGTGATGTTAGAGAAGTTCTGCCAAATCGTAATTAATGGAATTATTTGTCCACTCCACATGTGATAACCCATTGTCATCTGTCACGTGTCTCCAGGTTGACCACAAAGCCAAGGAGATTATACCCAAGGCCGACCTTCCAAGCCCCAGGAAGGAGTTCAGTGCCTGTGCCATTGGCTGCAAAGTTTACGTGACCGGGGGCCGAGGATCAGAGAACGGTGTCTCCAAAGATGTTTGGATTTACGATACCGTCCATGAAGAGTGGTCCAAAGGAGCACCCATGCTGATAGCGAGGTCAGTGTGAACTCTAAGGCTGCATTCAAACTGCAGCTCTTCCAGACTTCACATTATAGTTCAAATGAAGAAGATTTGATGTCACACTCCATGGGTGGTGTAGTAAATATGGATGCTAGACGTGTCAGCTAGTGTGAACTCATTTGGAAGTTGTTGTGAAAACAATGTCTTTGGAGGTGTTGCTTAGCCATGTAGCTAAGGGACTCTGCTCTGCCCTCTGCTGGAGACGCTCAGGCCTTTGGCTTGGCACAGTCTCTACATTGTAACCATAACAGTTCTTCATTTGTTGACCATCATGATCCATGAATGAGCTTTAAAGAGTACAGTGGTTTATACCATCAACTGTAGTACGAATACTAATAGTATTTTTTTACTGCTTTGCAGTGGGTAACTTTCCACACATACTAGTCTTTGATCAGGGTTTCTATACTTGATACTGTGATATATTTGTAGTATATTTATCTAATTGACAACATCCTGTTAAACCATGTTGTTGTACATGTATTTTATTGTATAGTTTACTCAAAGTGACTCCACCGTCTGCTGATGATTGAAGTGACATGGTTTGACTGCAGCAGTGCACAGTGAGCCATGACGTTTTACTGTCAGCCTCTCTGAGCGCGTCAGGACTCAGAGTCGTTTTTACTAGTGTTGTCAGGATGTGAGTCGTCAACCAAGGACGACATGATGGGATTTTAGTTGTGATCTGAGCTCGGGGTTTATTGTACTATTGTTAACCTCCGTGATATATTGGAGCGTAATGACTGTGAGAGGAACTGACCTTGGTGGAGGTTCGAACAGACACAGAATAATGTCTGTTCCCACCGTACAAAATTACCTAATAAATCAACAGATACGATCTCAGATTGTACGACCCCGGTGAGAAGATTTATTTACGTAGATTACTTCCGTTGGCTGGAATCCAGAAATTTACAGGACAGGAATGTACCCAACCCTGACACTCTCCTTTAGGTTTGGCCACGGCTCAGCAGAGCTGGAGAACAGTCTGTATGTTGTCGGCGGTCACACAGCCATAGCAGGGGTCTTTCCTGCCTCGCCGTCCGTCTCCTTGAAACAGGTCAGTAAGACAAAGACGTCGTCATCCCGGGGGAATACTGTAGTACTCAGTACTTTGTTTAATACGTGCACGTTAACATGTTTCCAGGTGGAAAGGTACGATCCTCTCAGTAACAAGTGGACCATGATGGCTCCTCTGAGGGACGGAGTCAGTAACGCAGCTGTGGTCAGTGCCAAACTGAAACTCTTTGTGTTTGGAGGCTCTACCATACACAGAGACAAGGCCTCCAAGGTAGAGCTGCTTAAAACAGAACATTCACAAACATTAGCATGTATAAAGTTTGGTAATGTTTACCATATTCCAAAGATTGTTAAAAGCCGTCCAGTCATTGTTACCGTAAAGCTTACCCTGCCTAGCCCTAAAATAAAGCAATTCAAAAAAGCGGCACAGACGAAAGTTCACGACACGTTTGACCACAGGTGTGACGACAGAGCGGTTTATGATTGACAGGGTAACGCCAAGAATGCATGCGTGAGACATTTACGGAACTTCACTCTGTTGTATCCTTCCCTCTAGGTCCAGTGTTACGACCCCGTGGGAAACCGCTGGACAATCGCAGCAGAATGCCCTCAGCCGTGGCGGTACACGGCGGCTGCGGTCTTGGGGAGCCAGATCTTTATTATGGGTGGCGACACGGAATTCACCGCTGCCTCGGCTTATCGCTTTGACTGTGAAAACAATCAGTGGACGCGAGTGGGCGACATGACCTCAAAACGGATGAGCTGCCACGCCGTGGCTTCGGGGAATAAGCTGTATGTGGTCGGAGGGTATTTCGGGACGCAGCGCTGTAAGACGTTAGACTGTTACGACCCCACGTCTGATAGTTGGAACTCCATCACCACGGTGCCTTATTCACTGATCCCCACGGCCTTCGTCAGCACCTGGAAACATCTGCCTGCGTAACGACGAGAGGAAACGAAATTCCTGGTGAGTTATGAGTGAGTGCCAGTGACAAAGACGGCTCTTCACGACTGGAATTTTAAACAACATTCTGATGCATAAAAATAGAGTACAAACGTTGTTTCATTTAAATTGTATCAGTTGAAAAATGTGTTTTGCATTTTTTATGACGATCTGTTGCTGTTATAGGAACTGTTGTTCTTATTTATAGAATTCTACTGTACTTTGATTTTAGGTGAGGGAGAATGAAAGACTGCCCCCTGCTGGAGTTGCACACAGGTCCAGCCCCCGACAAGACCTGCACTTCATGAACTGGACACTAGTCCTGACGGTTGGAACAAACAGCACAAGTGTTAACACAAAAAGAGCATTTCTCTGGATGTCATTTGATCCATTTTTTTACCTTGTACTCACAGAGACACTTTGATGATTTTAATGGACTTTTTAATGGAACGCTGATGAGGAAATAATGAGCAGTTTTATAGAACAGTGGACGCTGCCAGAATAATGACATTGACGATTTTCATTGACGTACAAGACTGGAACACACGGTGAGAGACTGGAGAATGTTTACATATAAAGGTTTGAGTTACGGCAGAATACGGTGAAGGAACAGAAGCCTCATAAGTATTTTGTACCAACATCAACTCTACTGTCTTGGTCTGCTGCAGATGTTGATCCAGTTCATCGTCCCACCGTGCTACTGTCTGGCTGCTGCAGCTCAGACGTACACACCAGGTTCCAACGTTTCTCTGGTTGCTTAAATCTTTATAAGTGTTTACAGAATACAACTGATGTTTACCGGTTTGGGTTCGTCTTTGGAACGATCCTAATCACTACTGCACAATTCTTTTTCTTGTGTTTGTTGAAATAATTGAGGACAATTCAGTTGCCTTGGTTTGGGCAAGAACTTTTACACACGTGAACCTTCTGCTTACGCTCACAGTTCTGTTAAAACAAACAAACAAAAAATGCAAAAAAACAAACAAACACCCAGAGCACGAGTTCAGTCACTCAAAGTTTGCACATTGATTCTAATTGTTGCTGTATTTGGAGTTTGAGCAACAGGTTCCAGGATCAACCAGCACCCAAAGACTTTCACGTTCGATCGGTGTCAGCAGATCAGGCGACTGACCCAGCTGGTAAAAATACTCTGTACTTCAACTCATGGTGTATGAAACAAGCACATTCACAGCCTCTTTCTTTCTCTGCTCTGTTCGAGTGTCACTGCTGGTTCAACACACGATATAAACTTCTTATCTGAGTCTGATTGATTTGCCCGGATAAAAACCCATAAATAAAGCTAGAGTCCGCCAGCAAACACAAAACTGTGTATTGTTTTGTTATTGTCGATTGAGAGTTAATTTTTTTGTAATATTGTGAAGCACAAAAAAAAGTAAAACTCAAAAATAAAGCTGTATTGGCTTAACATCGACCCCTGGTGTCGTGGAGTGTGTCGTTGAAAACACGCTACTGTAGATACAGAACACGGTCTTAGTGCTGAAGGTTGGCGACCACCAAACACAGAGGCAACTTGTGAAAAACACGATCATCCTGATGCAGAGAGATGATAATTGTCAACTGCTTTAAGCTGAACACAGTACGTTTATACTGCCGTATTTAATGTTGGTGGTACTGATGGTTCTTGGAGAAACAAAAGTTATTCGGTGGCCGGTAAACTAAACAAATTCCAGAACAACTGTTAAGGCTCAATAATATGTAGTTACCAGATTCGACCACTGGAGGGAGGCCAACATCTACTTTTCTACCACTTTACGAATTCCCTCGGTCGCTCTCTCTCTCTCTCTCTCTTCCTCCCCCTTTCTCTCTCTCTCTCTTCCTCCTCTATCTCACTGTGTGGTGGCACCATGTCGCTCGTCCTCCCCATGTCTTCCTACATGAAACGCACTCGCGTTTATTCTGTCTCGTCCACATCCAGGACGCACGGGTCCGTCGCACCACCAGGACCACACGGTGTTCCTGCCCAGACCTTGGTTGACGGACAACTGCTTACGTCAGTGACCGGTTGAACTGGACCAGACCTTCAGAGTCCAAAAACTTTGAACTTGTCCAGTATGACGAGACCAGGGAGTTTCCTGTGACGCACGGAACTGCGGCGTCGCAGATTAGTTTGAGGTCCGATCCAGGTGTGGGACCTGAAACTGCAGTCGAACCGACACCTGCACAAAAATACTACTGCGATCCCGAACTAAGAGCTAAATGGACCGGAACAACGGAGCCACAGGAGACGATGGCTGACCGGAGGGAAATCTGTGTTACATTCGATTTTTAATCGGTGTTTTATTGGGGTGTATGGATTCAGACGTGGATCAGAAACCGGACCCGACTCAGAGATTCTGTGGGGGGAATGATGTGAAAGAGGACCGGAAATAATCAGTGAGAGAAAGCACCTGTTCCTGCTGCGGACAAAGGTACCGAACACTCTGCACCTGTGAAAGAGTTAGAAACACAGACACTGATCAACGTCAGTGAAATGATTGGGTTCACGGTGAGAATCTGCCACATGAAAACAAGGCTTTCGAGCACATTTCTGCTTTATTAGGTTGGTCAGTTTGGATCGTTATTCTTTGAAAAATATATATATTTAAGATGATGAATTAATAAACAAACCAAGCTGCATTTATTAATGGTAGTTTTCAACATATTTTAACAACGTATTTCGTCTCTTAGAATTGTTTCCCCCCAGTGATTTTTTTTCAAGCTGAACTGGATTTGATGACCGTCCAGTCAAATCTATTCATACCTGTCACTCAACAGGTGATCAGTAAATGATCAATAAAACGAATTTAAAAAAATCTTATTTCTGTTCCTGGCAGTAATTAAAAAATGATGTAATAAAATATATGTATTCCTTATGGAATCACTGAAGTATCTTTGCAGCGTCCTCTGGGAGAAGACGTACAAAGGGAAGTGGAAAAGTTGGGCTGAATTGGGCCAGAAATATTTATAAAATACCGTCTCTGTAGAATTCTGTTGTTCGTGTCGGTTGTCCAGTGATTCCCAACCACTGTGCCGTGGAAAATATTCAATTTCACTGAAAACTATTGTTTATTTATTGCAAATATTTTTTCTTTGCTTGTCAAAGTATGAACGGCAGAACAGTTAAATCCTCTTCTGCTAGAGGGCAGCAGATGGCTATAAAAACTAAAAAACAAGATAGTCAGAGCTGTTGAAGAAGATCTTTGTGAGTGTCTTTCTTCAATTCCTGCCAGTTTATCAGCGTACATTTTTAGTCAGTTTAAACTAGAACGTCCTCGTCCAGTGATTCATGGGACTGTATCAGGGGTGGTACCGTGGTAACCAGCTGCCACCGGAAGGTTCTTGGTTCTAAACCACCTAGTCTCCAAATCTTAGCGGAATTCCTTCTAAAAAACGAAAATAATTTTTCAAATGTTCTAACTGAAACTGATTGTATTTTGATGCTTTCACCATCTTTATGTCCAACAGGCTTCTGGAAGGATGTGAGTTTGGAGGCTCAAAGCTGCAACTTCACTCTTGCTTCAGACAGGAATGTCTGAAGCAGGGACCTGTGTGACTGAACCATTTGGAATTGCGCCACCTGTGGCTAATCCAGCTTCAGCTAAAGGTGAAAATCCACAGTCTGGCTCATCCTGATTTGAACACGCCACCATTCACAACATGTTGCTTCTACTGCCACCTGTGTGCTGACTGTGTGACTCCACTGTTACCCCTCTACCCTGCCGCCCAACTCGAAGCAACATGGCAAAGGGTTCGAAGCCCCTGATCTTCTCCAGCCACTGTTTGCTTTTTCTGCTGATGCTGAAGAGCTGCTGGATGTTCGGCTCAACCTCACAGAAATCCACAGTTTTGGTGGACTCCCAGCAGCCCTTGCAGGAATTTGCCCACTCCATCCGGATAGACGGAGACATCATCCTGGGGGGCTTGTTTCCCGTGCACGCCCGTGGTGAGAGGGGCGCGCCCTGCGGCGAGCTGAAGAAAGAGAAGGGGATCCACCGGCTGGAGGCCATGCTGTTCGCCATTGACCTCATCAACAAGGACCAGGAGCTGCTGCCCAACATAACGCTCGGGGCCCGGATTCTGGACACGTGTTCACGTGACACCTACGCTCTGGAGCAGTCGCTCACCTTCGTCCAAGCGCTCATCGAGAGGGATGGATCCGACGTGCGATGTGCCAACGGTGACCCGCCCATTTTGGCCAAACCTGATAAAGTGGTGGCGGTCATTGGTGCATCGGCCAGTTCTGTGTCAATCATGGTGGCCAACATCCTGCGGCTGTTCAAGGTAAGGAAAACAAATGAACATGACGACTTAACTTATATAAGACATGTTGGACATAATGGACATGTATAGAGAAATGTGGACCAAAAGGCAAATATAAATGAGATGTAACAATGGGACAGAGTGTAGGGCGTGCAGTGGTGCAGTCTGCACAGACACTCAGATACACTGTTTGAGTGTCTGTGGAGGCTGAGGCTGAGGCTGAGGCTGAGGCTGAGGCTGGTTTTCACTCTTTGTTAATGTGCTACCTGCAAATATGTTGTTAACTGCTGACACAGCACGGCAGCAGATGGTTGTTGTGGGAGAGCGAATGCATCATTTTTGCCTAAAAAAAAAAAACCAAACTGGAGACTGGAAATTAGTTGAACACAGAAATTTTTTTTTTTTACACATAATGTCTGTTGATAAGCTTAAGAACTGACCGAAAAACGCAAAACATGGAACCATTATTCCAGGGGAGTCCGTCGTCACAATCGTCATGAGCTGATTATTGTTATTATTTAAATTTATATCAAGACAGGAAGTTGATATTTTACAAATATTTCACCTGACTAAGTCGTCCATACACAGTCCTAGTCGTTTAGATAGCTTCCAAAGTTCCACAAGAGAAAACCTGAATGGTAATCCCCTCTGTGTACCACTAGAGGGAACCAAAGTACCATCAAGGGTATGCGCTCCATATGTTGAGAACCGTTGATCTAAGCTTGGCATTGTATTGTTGACGTGTAACGCTGTGTGGAATGCGTTACAATCCTTCCTGTCGTTCTGGCAAACGCACCACAACATGGACCGCGGCACATGTTGCGTTGCACTTGTAATGACATCCTGAAGGTCCAATGATTTGTTTACGATGACGACACTCGCTGCGTGACCCTCACACAGGGAGAATAAGTTTGCAGTTGATCACATCTAATCAGCTGATCTGTCTGGATTACCTTTGTTGTTAGATAACAAATGTAATCTCCCTCGGAGATGAAAGACCCTGGAGGAGGCCGTGGGTAATGGAATTTAATCAGATAGTAATTGGCTCTCTCTCTCTCTCTCTCACTCTCTCTCTCTCTCGCAGCAATTCATTAATGAGGTTGATGATAACCGAGGCACTCAGCTGTCTTTTAAAGCTATCGCCTTCCTTGTTTATTGTCACTGTTAATTAAGCTGTTGATCTGTAATCCAGCCCAGTTCTCAATGAGCTCTTCAGTCTAACGATCAGCCAATGACGTCGCTCAAAACTTCATCAACCGAATTAAATGAAGCCCGTGTTTTTGGTCACACTCTGAGGGAACTGGTCTCTCTCTCTCTCTCTCTCTATATATATATATATATATATTAAAAAAAATTATATATATATATATATATATATTAAAAAAAATTATATATATATATATATATATAATTTTTTTTAATATATATATATATATATATATAATTTTTTTTAATATATATATATATATATATAATTTTTTTTAATATATATATATATATATATATTGTATATATTAAGAATTACACATCAGATTTTTCCAGATTCCTCTAATGCACTGATTCTTAATTATCCCCCCCCGAGACAGAAATATTTTGTCGCCACCCCCGTGACCCCCGACCCAAACCTGATCACATGTATATTTTTATCTGTACAACCCATGTACGAGCTTTTGCTGAGAGCTCTATGTTGGACGGCGGCGGCGGCGGCGGTGGCGGCGGTTTGTCAGTGATGTTTGGTTAATTTCTCAGGTGAGCTCAGGACTCTGCTCTTGTCCCGCCTGTCTGCTCCGACACTTCAGGAAACGTGTCGGCGTGTGACACGGTGACGCACACTTTGAAGCCAGTCTGACAAGTGCAGATGGTAACCTGACATTTATTCGGCTGCCTGTGTGGTTTCTTTCTTTCTTTCTTTTTTTGCCTGAGTGAATCTGTCACACGAGGAGGAGAAGCTGTCATGTCAAGAACCTCCGTGGTAAGTGGAGGAGTCGTGTCTTTTTTTGTCTCTGTACACACTTCATTCTTCTTTTGTGTGTCCCCTCACACGCCCCCACTCCTCGATTGTCACATCTGTGAACGTCAGCTGGAAGACGTCTTCAACCACCGCCGTCAGTCGTTGCCACACCTCGATTAGTCAGGCTCAAATATTTATGGTTGTTCATTTTTTTCCATGTTGTTTACTCAAATTGACAAGTTTCTTTTTCCGTTGACCTGAGTTTTCAGTTTTTATCCTGTCGGCAGCAACCGGTGAATTCAGAGAAAATCAAAGTGGTCACTGCAGGACTGTGTCAAAGCCTGGAGAGGCTAAATAAAAATGAATTGACCTGCAATCCAAATATTAGTGTAAAAGATGAACAACTTGTAGGTTGATTTTTTTTTTTTTTTTTGTCAAGTGGTAAGAAGATGGTTTTTTAAAAAATTGTCTGACGGAAAGGACTTTGTGGATGTGGATTGTTTGTTTGCTGCGTTCAAAGTCGACTGAAACCGTGGGAAAGAACAGCTTCTCATTCACAACAGAGACACCTGTTGACCTGTTGACCTGTTGACCTGTTGACCTGTTTGTGCTGGACTCACCGGTCTGAACTACTGTGAGCACCTGGAGCTTGTCATCTGGTTCAGGACCACGGACAGCTCCTGAGGCCAACATAGTAGATAAGACAGCAACTCTTCACAGTATTTTCCTGGTAATTATTTGAATATATTTTCATTAGGGTTGGTGCAGTTATGTGCTTTTTTCTTCTAATAGAAACATTAAAATGATTAAAATGTATAAAACCCTAACTCCGTCGACAGGATCTCAGTAGCACCGTGGTCTTCTACTCCCAGAGTTCCACGGCTTCTCTGCTGACACTGCAGCGTGCATCATATCCACACATTCACAATGAATTGCCCTCATTTGACACCATTGTTAAAAGGGAACCGACAAGTGGACGTTTATCATCTTTACAAAGTCCAATCGATCATCACTCACTTTTCCACATTCAGCACTCCAGACCTCCAGTGTTTTTATTCCAGCAGTGAACAGGACTGAGTCGCTTCCAGGAAATGTCTCACTCATCGGGGCTCACCGCTGATCTCATGTCAGATCTGTTCTCTGTCCCATCATCCTCTGCGGCATTCCCTCAGCGCCAGATGCTCATTGGCCCTGACAGCTTCCTGCTGCTAATTGCACCACTAACCCCGACTCTCGCCGTCCTCCGTCCTCACTGTATGCAGAAATTCTCCTGTCTGACTGAAAAACCCGCTGCTTGTCATCACGCTGTCGGGCTGAACATACCACACTGCATGTGACTTCACTCTTTTTTTTTTCTTTTTTTTTACCCCACTTACTTACACTCTCCCTGGTATAAGAAAAGTCTTCGCGTTCTTCGACCGAGAAACAAACTCGCCATAAATTCTATTTTCCCAGAAGGACAGAAAGTGAACACTTTATTTTTAGCCCTTGTCAAAAATGTTCCTGAAGTTCTTTCTGCTTCACCTCGTTGTGGTTTAGGAGCTTGTTTTACCAGTGCAGGATTAAGAACTTAGCTTGACTTAACACCAGGGTCTACAGTAGAGGAGCCAGGTTTAAGTCATCTGCGTGACTAACTCTTCAGATTTTCTGGATGTAAATGTTCAGCTGAGGATCAGACACAGCAGTGATCTGTGAAAAAATACAACATCGATTTCATCAGATTTTTATTGTCCCATTGTTTGGTGTTTCGGTCGCTGTTTCATTTTTTTCCTGGCTTCTCCAATCAAGAGGTCTTTCACTCAACTACACGACAGAACTTGTTTTCTTCTGCAGTGTCTAACTATGCTCTGATTGGTCAGAATTGAGGAGAAGTGGGAGTGTTTACTCACTTCACTTCACGTTATCGAGTGGTGGAACACGCCACCTACCTTCCCTTTCATCATCTGCCAGTCTGAGGTTTTCTGTTGTGGCATCAGAATAACAAGAAGAGGATTTTTGATTCTTCCAGATTCCCACAATGCTTAGCGTGTGTGTGAGACATGTAATGTGTTTTGTTAAAAGTGTGGCACCTGATTTCATGACGGATATAAATTGTCCTGGACAGAAGTTCTTGTTCTGGCCCAACATGTATTCTTGTATGTTGCAGATTTTTCGCTCTATCGTGGGTTTTTGTGGTATATAAAAAAAGTTAGATATCTAATATTTTCATTATTTTCGTTGTAAACTAAGCATTTTCAAGCCTAAGAAATGGGAAAAAAATAGTAAAACAATTAATTAAAAGACATTTTGTAACACATACATAGAGGGAATCACAACAAATAACCTATGCATACGGGTAAACGAGATTTGTGAAAGTTTCTTTAAGTTTTTTTTGCCATTTTCATGCCCTACGTTGCCTCCTAAAGGGTTCGTAAAGGGTTAATATATACGTAAATAATATAGTAAACTATCGCGGCTCTACTTCGTGGTTCTTCACCTATCGTGGGCGGTCTTGGAACGTTACCTCCGTGATAGATGAGTGACCTGTGTATTCCCCTTCAGTGCTGTTGTGACTGTTCAGTGTAAACTCAGATAATGATATTAAAAAAGGTATTGAACCCTAGACATCTGACAAACATGTGGTGGAGGAACAACAACAAAAAGACACGCGTAAGGAGAATTGTTAACACTCACACGGCCAATTCATGTCTGATGAAAATGTTTGTGGCTCTGCCGTCGGTGGACCTGTTGAGCAGCTCCACTTCACGTCCTCCTCTTCTTTGTTAAAAGTACTAATTTTCTCTCCTCTGCCTTTGTTTCTGACACGTTCAGATCAGCGCTCCCCCACACGTCATGAGCCTCTGTTCCCACCGCGGCTGTTACTCTAAGAAGCCAGTTATTAATTCTTCCCTCGGTCGGAGCCTATTGTTATTTAAAGAATGATAGTAATTAGCTATATTGGGCAGCAAGCTCAGAGTAACTGGAGGAGGGAGGATGGACGGGGGAGTGTACAGAACTGCTGGGACGACTTTGTAAAGTGCAGCTTCAAAAGGTATAAAATATTTGTGCCTTTGGTAGAAAGGGTTGTTTT